GCCCGCCAGCCCCGTATCAGCCTGCCGGGAACCAACCCCTGCATGGCCAAACACTCCAGCCCCCAGACCTCCAAGCCACACTCCTGCTCACGAATTTGCGGCGGGCCCGCAAAGGAGCAGCACCGGGGCCCACCGGCTTGACCAGCGAGACCCTTCGCCTGATCCTCGATGATGAACAAACCACAGAATCGTTCATCGGGGTCGCCACAAAAGTAGCGCAAGCTCAGCTCCCGGCAGCAATCAGCCGGGCCATCGGACTAGGCCGAATGGTCGCACTCCAAAAACCGAACAGGAGGGTACGGGGGATTGTCGTCGGTGACCTCCTGCGCCGCCTGGTCTCCCGATGTTTGGCCCAAACCTATGCCAGCCACATCCAGCGGGCGTGCAGCCCCCACCAGTACGCATTGGCCACCAGGGCTGGAGCAGAAGCCCTTGCCCATAGCATCACAGCAGCCACAGAGCAAAACCCAACCAACACAGTGCTCTCAATAGACGGCATCGGAGCCTACGACAACATTTCTAGGTCAAGCATGTTGAATGCCTTGCAAGAAGTACCTGAAGCCAACCGATGCCTCCCCTTCGTCAGCATGTTCTACACACAGCCGTCCACGTATGTGTGGCACGACCAGGAGGGCAACCCCCATGACATCACTCAAGCCGAAGGAGGCGAACAAGGTGATCCGCTCATGCCAGCTTTGTTTTCTTTAGGAGGCCTATTTTTTTTTGGATTTTTTTTCTTTTACGTTTTTTGATTTTTTTTTGGTTTCTTGTTTTATCTTGCTTTCTCCTTTTTTTTTGCTTGTTTGTTTTTTTTGCTTTTTTGCGTTTTTTGTTTTTTTGTTTTTTTGTTTTTTGCTTGTTTGCTTTTTTGCTTGTTTGCTTTTGTGCTTGTTTGCTTTTTGTTTTTTTTTGATTTTTTGCGTTTTTGTTTTTTTGTTTTTTTGTTTTTTTGCTTGTTTGCTTTTTGTTTTTTTGCTTTTTGTTATTTTTGCCTTTTTTGTTTTTTTGCTTTTTGCTTGTTTGCTTTTGGCTTTTGGCTTGCTTTCCATGGCTTTTGGTGGTATGTCAAACTTGCACATTTTTCAATACACTAGTTTGAATCGACTATATTCATATATATATATTTATGTTTAAATTAAAATCATATATATATATATATTTACATATATATATATGTATATATATATATATATATATGCATTTATATACACACTTGTATATTTATATCTAGATATATTTATATTATTTATATTTTCTACTTATATATATATATTTTTATATATACATATTATTACTATTTACGTTCAAATTCATATATATATATATATTTACACATATATATATATATTTACATATATATATATACATATATATATATGTAAATATATTTATATATTTATATTTACATATTCATATTGATATTTTATATATTTATATTTATATTTATATATTTATTTATATATTTTTATTTACATATATATATATTTATGTACCTATATATATATACATTCATATGTATATACATATAAATCATATAAATGTATATATATATAAAGAAGTATGTATCTATAAGTATATGTACTGTATTCCACATGTTTCCAGGGTGCATGTCGTGTAGTCTATACACCTTGAGTATCACATTCAACCCAGCACCTTGCATGTAAAATAGGTGTTTCCAATCTGCTTTGGGGGGGAGGCGCTGCGCCCTCCCCCCCAATCCCCCCCTCCCGCTTTTTTTAATTATTTAAATTCAAACTTGCACACTTTTCAATACACTTGTTTGATTCGACTATATTAATATTTTGTTAAAAATTATATATATATATATCTAGACATATATATATATATATAGACACACGTATACATACATATATATATATGTATATGTATATGTATATATTTGCATTTATATATACACTTATATTTATATATATTAATGTACTTATATAAATGTATATATATATATATATGTATACATACCTATTAATATGTATATACATATCAATATATATATTTATATAATTATATAACTATAAGTATATATATATATATTATAAATACACATACATATTTACTTATAGATATACAGACGTATACATATATATATATGACATATTTGTGGTTGTTTTTATACACAACTTTGATCCCAACATAAACAACAAATAATCATGTAATTATACCTAATTACATGTTGTATCCCTAAACCCTAAACCACACCCTGCATATGCATACATACATGCATGCATGCATACATACCTACCTACCTACCTACCTACGTACATACATACATACACACATACATATATATATAGATTGATTGATTGATTGAAGAAAACCAAAGAAACCTTGCAGAAAACGATGGAAAATTGAAGAAAACCATGGAACAATTGAAGAACACTATGGAATATTGAAGAAAACCATGGAAAACTTGCAGAAAACCATTGGAAAACTATGGAAAAATTGAAGAAAACCCGGGAAAAAAGAACACCATGGAAAACTTGCAGAAAACAATGGAAAATTGAAGAAAACCATGGAACAATTGAAGAAAACTATGGAAACATTGAAGAAAACCATGGAAAAATTGAAGAAAACAATGGAAAAATTGAAGAGGCACGAACCCCAAAAAAAATTCCAAAACTGTAAAAAAAAAAATACCAAAAACAATTCTGCACCCTTTTCTTTAGGGCAGAAAGCGGCACTCCAAGCCGTGCAGCAGCAGCTCCAGCCCGGAGAAGCATTATATGCTTTCCTTGACGATGTCTACACCATTGTTTCCCCGGCACGGGTAGGCCCCGTTTTCGACCTGCTGTCACACCATTTGTTCCACAGTGCACACATACAACTGAACACCGGCAAAACTCGCGTGTGGAATGCTGCCGGCCTCAGGCCACCAAACCTCGAGGGGTTAGGCGACAACGTGTGGGTCGGCAACCAAAACCTGCCAACCACAGAACAAGGCCTCATGGTCCTTGGCACACCATTGGGCACGCCACAGTACCAGCAACACCCCAGCACGACCAATTGCCCGACCGCATCCCAGCCTTGGGCGACCTGCAGGCCTCATGGCTCCTGTTACTATTCTGTGCCAGCCCCCGCTGCAATTACCAACTTCGCATGCCCCAGAAATAACAACCAATTTTGCCGCACACGATGTCGCCGTGGCCACATGCTTCACCCAGCTCTTAGACACAGCCCCATTGCCAGCAACAGCCCTTGCAACAGCACACCTTCCACTTCAACTGGGCGGCCTAGGCCTCACCTCGGCAGTCGCGACAGATAGGCCAGCTTACTGGGCATCTTGGGCTGACACCCTACCCATCCTCCATTCCCAAGCGCCCCCACTAGCAGCCACCATTCGCCACCAGCTGACCCACCCCCAAGAAGCCACAGCCAGTGTGCGAGCAGCCATTCACAGTGCGGAACATCTCCGCCAACACGGCTGGGAACCACCAGCCTGGGATCAACTTTTGAACCAAGAAGTTTTGCCAGAGCCCCACCAGGATTTCGAAACACCAGCCCCAGGCCGAGGATGGCAACAAGCAGCCACACGAGTGTGCAACCGCAGTTTCCGCACAGAATTGATACAAGCCGTTGACCCTGCGAGCCATGCAATGTTGGAATCCCAGTCGGGGCCAAATGCCAGCCGACCTTTCACCACAATCCCTTACAACCAATCCACCACTTACCCATCCCACCTCTTCAGAACTCTCTTGCTTCGCCGCCTGCGGCTCCCCCTTCCTTTGTCTGCCCGCCAGTGCCGGTGCCGTCGCGCTCTTGACTTACTTGGCGACCACCGTGCCGCTTGCCCACAGGCAAGGATTCTTCGCAGTCGAGGGGTGGCACTCGAGCGGGCTGCAGCCCGGATCTGCAGAGAAGCAGGGGCAAGGGTCACAACCAACACCAGGGTGACAGACCTCAACTTGGCACAAGTCACCCGTCAAGATGACAGACGCATCGAAGTCATTGCCAATGGCCTAAACCTTTGGGGCGGAGCTCAGCTGGCCATCGACACCACCCTTGTCTCCCCTTTGACACGGGACGGGCAGCCTCGCCGCCGTGCAGGCACCTACGCCGGGGCAGCTCTCCATACAGCCCGCCGGAGTAAGGAACGCACTTACCCGGAATTTCTCCAGTCCAGACGTTGCAGGCTGGTCGTCCTGGCTTTCGAAACCGGCGGCCGTTGGAGCCACGAAGCCACGAATTTCATTCGATTGCTTGCCCAGTCCAAAGCCAGACAAGCACCAGCACTCCTCCAACGATCCGTCATGGCAGCCCTCATTTCCAGATGGTCAGCCATGCTCAGCCACGCGGCCATGCAGTCTTTTGCAGCATCCCTCCTGGACCAAAACTTGTCCACCCACAGCAACGTTGATGGCAACACACCACCCGTCAGCCAACTCCTCGCCGAAACCCCGCCACCACCCCCCGGCAACAGCCGCCTACCCCCATCCTAATTGTGGACTTTGGATTGAGCACATCTGGAGACTGGCCAGTATAAAAACAGTCAGCCGACCCAAAAGCACAGTAAGGGGGACTCATTGGACCTCGCGCAGAAAAAGTGTGTGTGGGAAAAAAAACAATTGCTCCTTCCTTTTGAAGAGTTGGAGCAACCTACCACCAGATATGGCAAGGTGGCAGCCATTGACGAAGCAGATGAAGATGCAATGGCAGTTCAAGCCTATGCCGTGCAAAAGGATGAAGAAGCCGAGGCAGTGCAAGAATATGCCAGGCGCGAAGAAGAAGTGAAAAAGGCCAAGGAGCTTCTGGAACAAGACCCCAGTCTCTTGGCAGACCTGGAGGAGGAAACGGAAGCCCCGCCACCTGTGGAGCCAGAGGGGTTGTCACAACCTATAAGCCCCACTGAGGCGCAGGTGGAATCCCACCGCCTTACACACCTGCCGTTTCAACCATGGTGTGAAGAGTGCGTGTCGGGTAAGGCCAAGCAAGATTGGCATAGGAGGGATCAATCCTCAGCACGTGAGGGGCCAGGGTTGATCCAAATGGATTACTCCTTTCTCTCTCCTGAGAAGGAGGAAGAGGTTGAAGATGAGTCAAGACTGGTCACAATCCTGTGTCTGACTGACACGGTGACAGGTTGGCCGCTGGCACTTCAACTTCTCAACAAGTCAAGCGAAGTAGCCCAGTCCAGGTACTGTCTACAGAATGTGGACCTCTACCTGAAGAACCTTGGGTACAACAAAGTCATTCTACAGCATGATGGCGAGCCCTCAATAAGAGCCCTGGCTGAGTCAATCCAAGGACATGTTGGATCCATCCGAGCCTCTGTGCGGGAGTCTCCGCCCAAGCAGCACCAGTCACAAGGAGCTGTGGAATCCATGAATGGGTTTGTAGCAAGCCAAATCCGAGCTTTGTGGCTCGACGTCAGGAAGCGGTATCCTTCCTTGGACGTGTCCAGCAACTTGACACCGTGGCTTGTGCGCCACGCAGCATGGCTGATAGCACGTTTCCAGGTGAGAGGAAAGATGGGCTCACGCCCTACCACCTGACAACTGGCAGCAACTACTCACACCCAGTCGCCATGCTAGGCGAAGTAGTTTTAGGAAAGGTACCGACCCCGAGGGGCAAGATGCAGCGAAGGTGGATCAAAGGCATATGGCTAGGTAAGCTGGACAGAGACGACAGCAATGTGCTCGGCACGTCGTCTGGGGCAGTCGCTGTGAGATCGGAGAAGACTGCCAAAGGAATCGCAGACTAATCAAGAGTTGATGAACGACATGAAAGGAACTCCTTGGCAACCCCGCGACCGGGATGAGGCACAAGATCAACAAACAATTGCCACAGCCAGTGGCACTCCCAGCGCCAGCCGCAGCGGGTCCCACCGCGCTGGCATCAGAGCCCCCGCTGGCAGAAAAGATGGTCAAAATGTTGACCAGGATGGGTTAGTCGTGCAAGCCGCAGCCCAGCTGGAAGACCTACTTGGCGACCAAGCCGAGGACTTCCCAGCGGGTATCCCCGCGGACAACGACGACGACGACGACGACGCGCTAAGCTGCGTGCCCACCACGCCAGCAAGATCTGAAGCTGCAGATCCTACGCCGGCAGCAATGCCGAGCGGGCAGCCTCCGCCCTTCCGAGGTGCGGGATGCATCGTCGCTTCAAAGCCTTCCGGACGAACCGATGAGTCCGAGCGGGCTTGGTCAAGGAGGGAAGCGAGTAAGAGATGATCAGGCAGCGCTTGCACCAGGACAAGCCGAAGCCAAGCAGTCCAGGCAAGCAGGTGTCTTGCAGCCTTTGACAAATCACGAGATCTGGTCCCACATCCAAGAATGGGCCAACTCCAAAGATAAGAGCAATCCAATGGCTTTGCAAAGGATAGCCAATGTGATGGATTTCGTCGACCAATTGCTCGACCCAGAGGAGGTTGCCAAAGCGCGAAAAGTCCAACTTCAAAAGCTTTGGGCCTTGGGAGCATTGGGAGCGAGGTGCTTTCACACCCGTCTTCTCCACACAAATGGGTTGACAAGTGTTCCAAAGGAGCATAGCATACAAGTCGCGCTTCACATGCGCTGACGTTAAGGCTCGCCACATGGCAAGCGAGGAGGAGGGATTGGACGTGTTCGTTCCAACTCCGACCCCAGAAGCGCACAATCTTCTGGAGGTCTATGCTCTGACAAAGGGTTACTACGCCTGAAGTCTGGACATCGTCGCAGCCTTCTTGATTGGAGCTGACCGAGGAGCCAGCGAAGGGAAGCATGTCTACATGCGTGCGCCAGTTGAATGGCACGACATCTTCCTTGAGTGGCTATAGAAACTCTCAGCCCCGAATTGAAGAATTGGTATAAGGATTCGTTCCAAGAACTTCTCTTCAGGTTGGATGGAAACCTGTACGGCAGAAGGGCAGCCGGATCCGTCTATAGGAATGAGCTGGAGGAAATCCTCTGCTCAAGGGTTGATCCACAGCGGTATGCTTTCACTCGAGGTGAGAAAGATCCGTGTGTCTTCCGTTGTGACAAGTCAGGGGTCATCCTGATCCACCACATAGACGACGTCCGTAGGGCTGGACCGAAAGAAGCTGTAAATCACTTGGTTGAAGTCGAAATGCCGAAACACTGCGAGGTCCAAGCAGGAGAGCTCGAAAGCGAGGGAACAGCTGTTGAGTATCTGGGTCGCACCAAGGTACGAACCAAAGACGCTATCATCACGATACCAGATGAGAAGCACATCAAAGCTGTCATCGCTGCTGCGGGAATCTCCGCCAGAGACCGCAGTGAGGTTCCTTCCAAACAACTGAAGAACCTCTTAGAAACGGAGCCTCTTGGCGAGGCAGATGCCAAGCTTTATCGCTCGGCAGTGGGATCAGCGATCTACCTGTCGCTGGACAGGAGGGAGATCCAGTACGCGGTGAAAGAAGCAGCGCGACACATGTCGCAACCGCGAAAATGTGACATGCAAGCCGTCAAGACTCTCGCGGCAAACTTGCAGTCGCATCCACATGTTGGCCGAGTCACAACTTGTGATCATAACTGTAGCTCAGAGTGGCCATGCGAATTGTATAGCCATTCGGACTGGGCCGGATGCCTGGAGACACGGCGAAGCACCGACTGTTACATAGCAATTATAATGGTGTGTGGTGCAATCGTCGCATGTGGCTCACAGACCCAACCGGGCCTACCAGCAGCTATCTTCCTCAAGGAGCTGATCACCCGAGATTTTGGCCAGCAGTGCGGAAAGCCCCGCCTATGGACGGACAGTTCATCGGCAATGCAAGCTTCCAAGCGCATTGGACCAGGTTCCAAACTCAGACATCTTGAAGTCTGTGAGTTCTATGTGCAGCTTTGCAGTCCAAGCAGATGGCTTTGGGCAAAGTCAAGGGCATCACCAAACACCCAAAGAGTGGAACGGAAGTAAGGCAAGCAATGCCTGGTTTAGGCATGTATGAAGCCCGTGAGGGAGAAGATGTGCTTTCTTCGAGCAAGAAGATCTCTGTCAAGGTCTCAACCGTGACCAAGCAACATGCGTGGAAGACTCCTACGCCAGCTTGTGTTGGATGGATCAAAGACCAAGATCGAGCGGGAAGAACCGCCACGGCCTATCGTCAAGATGGACAACTGGTCGGGTGCATCAAGGCACTTGTTGTCCCGAGCCAAATTCAGGCTGTGGCAGGGCAGCCTACGTACTGCCTGTCCCAATACGAATGGTACGCATTGTTCTTCTTGGCCGGAATCGGCATTGGTGTGCTGATATGGGCAATCTGAGGCAACTGGCAAAACAGTTCATCATTTTTGTTTTGGACTGGGTACGGCCAATCGAGCCAGAAGCTCAAGAAACGGGCCATGAGGTGCAATTGCGCATCCAAGATCAGCAGATCACCTTACGAATCAGGGTGACTGCAACCAGAGACAATCAGCAGCTAACGCTGATCAATCCAGCGCCAGCGGCAACCCCGCGGTCAGAGCCAGCGGCAGACCCGCGGACACCAGCGGAAGTCCCGCGGTCTCCTGAGGAACTCACTCCTCGAGTGATCGAGAGGTGGCATGAAGAACGTTGGGTCCAAGAATCCGCAGAGGCCAGAATGACCATGCAGGAGTTGATCGAATGGCGCAACCAAGAAGAGTGTCTCCTACGAGGAGAACACCCCGACGGCATGTCGGACCTCCAGGACGCCGAGTCAAGTGAGTCCGCGGCGGCACCAGCCAGTGCGGGCAGCACCGCTGAAGAGCGGGCAGCTCCGCCTGAGCGGGCAGATCCGCCAACCCGGGAACCGGAAAGCGAAGCCGATGCAGCCAGCATCGACCGGAGCGACCCGTTTGCCCACATGTCTCCAGCAGAACTTGAACAGTGGAGACGGGCTGAAGACAGGTTCCTGGGGATATAGAGACGTTTCACCAGTAGCGTCTCACAGACAAGTCCACTCTAAGAAGGGTGGCAACTTTCTAGGGGTAAAACACCTAGTTTAGGTGCTAAGTTGCTAGCTATAGGAGTAGAGATGGCATGTCATGTAAACACTTGACGTGACCGCAGCCCCTTTTGGCACATCCGTGCTACTCGAGGAAAAGAAAGGTGACCGAGTCAACTGTGCTGTGTTGTCGCCAACTGTTTTTGAGCCCAATACGCACCCACCGTGTAACTTTGCTGTTTGCAAAAATCCATCAAAACCCATCGTGTCCGGAGGCAGGACTTCATTCTTTAATGGCACCCTCCACCAAAGAACCGGACACCCGAGTCAAAGACTGAATAAAAGGGGGGATATGTTGTTTACAATCAATTTTGATCAAACCAGAAAGTGAAACAAGAGGAGGCGGCCAAAAACAATGCTTGCTCTGCATGCTTCTGCCATGACAAAAGCAGAAGCCGCTAATCTGGCATGGGCAAAAAAGAAGGGCAAATTTCATCTCCGGTGTGCAAAGGAATCATTTGGGTACGTTTGGCGTGTTTATGTTTGTTGATGTCCACATGGCTAACATGGGCTCCCTATTTTTTAGAGATTCACTTTTGTATTTATATTTTTTGTATTTGTTTGTAATTGGTTGCCTGGGCCATGATTTTTTAGATGGTCTTAGACCCCCTTGCATCCTAGGTAGTGCAAGGTGGACCACCGTTTTTTGTCTAAAGAATGCTGGAGTCCATGTCCGCGGGAGAGTTCCAAGGAGAATCAAATACATGGACCAAACTGTTGCATACTGAAACAATTGATGCTGCATGGATTGCATTTAAAAAAATCCTTCCTCACAGCTTGTCCTTGCAACACCGCGATTTACTGCAGTACGCCAAGGCTTGGCAATGGAGGTGTACCTAAACTCAATGCAAACTTACAGCAAAAGAGCATCGAAACTTTGAAACGCATCGTGTGAGGGAAAACGCACTTTTTTCAGACCTCATAAAAAGGTCCGATGAAAATCGCCACCGCGGTAAAATGCGAAATCACAGATCGTCGTTGACTAAGGCAATAGTAACAACCATTAAATCTTCGATGTCATACACGGCACCACGTTTCTTACCTATCAGTCCTTGCGGGCACGTAAGGAACACTTGGAGCACCATAGGAACAGTACAGGAGCAGCACGGGAAGAACATTGAAGCACCACGAGGGCAAGAGGGAGAAACACGAGAACAACGCAGGACCAATGCAGGACCAATGCAGGACAACAGAGGAACAACATCGAAGGAATGCCGGAACAATAAAACGAGAACAACCCGGGAACAGTACAGGACCAATGCGGAATAAGAGGCAGATGCGTCTCATGTAAATTTGTCGTTTTGGAACAATGGAAAAAACAGTTTTGCTTGAAAACAATGAAAAACATGGTTTATCAAAATGATCAAGTTGGAAGGGTTGGCCAATCCTAAAACTCGCTTCTCTAATGCCTTAGCGCGGGCCAAGTACCATCTCTTGGGTAACTGCTATAAAATCAGTCGCTGTATGTCGCTGTATCCATGACGCGGAGCAAACTCCGTGTTTCGAGGAACAACCAATATTGCCAATACGTGGGTTTGATTCGCGAAACCGCATTTTACAGAAATGATAAAATGCAGTATATTTTATTTTGTACGAATGCATCAGCAAACACGTGTTGATCACCCCTCATGTTATTTCAATCATGTTTCAGTGCTGCTGTGTTTTTGGTCGGCAACAATTTTGCAAGTTCGGGTTGTTAGCTGTGTTTCCATTTCGTGGCTGCACCGTTTACCGACATTTTTTTCAAACCTCATTTATTGGATGTGAGACGGCGGGTCTAAGAGGAACTACGCTCTGGAGCCGGGGACTCTGATGCCTTTGTACATTTTTGTGCTGACCGGTTGACCGCGTTTGTTTTTCAGTTTCGCCGCGGCCAGGTGGGTTGTGGCTGATATGTTTTTTTCCACGTTGGTCTGGCCAGAGGGTCTGCCGGGCCCATCTTCATGGAAATTTGTGTGCGCTGGTGGCTCCTCAAGTGAATGCTCCATTGCTAAATGAACCTACGGAAAATTTAGCACAAAAAAAACATGACAATCCATGCACTGCCCTTTACAACCGTGATAGCGACACAACGAATCAGTACTTTTTGCCCCTGCTGAGCATTGTGAAAATTGTTAGGGACATTTAGGGACGTGGGTATAGTGTTTGCTTCGTTCAGGTCTTGAAACCCAAATCCACCTTTTGCTGGCCGTTATGTGAGATCCTATCACAAACTTGGGAATGCGTCAGACATGAAGAATAGTTTGTACTTGACAGTACTGTATGTAACATTCCGACGGAAATGCCTTGAGCCAAATGGGCAGCCGGCGTGATGTGCAGAAAACATATGCATTTCTTCCGCCTTTGCCCGAGGCCTTGGAACACCAAAATATTGTCCTATTTTCCGACGCCACAATTTTGAGTTTATTAAGAGATGCGCACTGTTCAGGCTGCAAATCGGCCTGGATTCCGCGAGAAGTACCCATCTCTTGGCCAGATATGGTTTGCAGATGCGGAGGAAATAGAAAAAAGGCGCCTTGGAAGTTTGAGAGCTGCCCCTGAGCAGACAATCCCACATGTTTCAGTTTCGCAGAGCATCCAACGATTATTTTCTGGGACGAGGAAACTTCCGCCAGCTCGGCAGCGCCTCTTGGAGCGAGCGGCGCAACAGGCCAGCGAAGTTATCCAAGATCAAGGCGCTTGGGCACCAGGCGTTCCCCTAAAGTGAATGAATCATTTTGAATCTCTATCATTCTCGATCCTTGTGCACATTGGGACAGACAGGATCACAAAACACACACTCTTAACTTCCAACGGAATATTTTTTGCTGCAACGTTGACCCTGCTGCGACGGAGGGCCAACTCCGTCATCGCCGTCTTCACCCGCGGAAACTAGTTTGGGAGCAGCAGATCAGGTTGGATCTAGTATTTTGATCTAGATTTGGTATAGTATGGAAACGTGCCAAACAAGTGGTGGCAAGTCACTGGCTATTGATATCATTGGGTTTCTGTATGTTTCTGCGGGGTTTGCGCGGAAAATGAGGCTAGAAATGGTGTCCAGCCTGTCAGTGTCAATTTTACCAGGGCTGTTCGGCCATTCTTCGTGTTCCGATGTGCAGGGGCTGTTGCAGCTTCTGGATGATTGGTTGCAAAACGGCCGAGAAGACTTATGTCAAGAGTTCGAGCAACACCTGCGCGAGTCCTACACATGGCCAGCGTCAGAGAGAAGGTTGGGATCCATGGCGACGAGCGCGATATGTAGCCCTTTTGTTACCAAATTTGGTGTCAATGCAACACTAGGATTCAATCAGTGAACAGGTATGTTGGCATCGTTGAATCCACTGGCACATAAGTGGCTGCAAATGTTTGCACGAGGTGTGCGTCGCACACCTCCAACAATCTAGATGTGCAATCCATGCCAGGAAGATGGTGGAAGTACACCGGCAAAAATGGAAAGCATTGGAGGACACACTGTGAAGTTCACTGTGAAGTATAGTTTTGTTTTGGTACATCACATGCCATGGACGGTGTACCGTAGATCGTTCACAGGTGCAAACAGTCTTGATGTCTCGTCTGACAGACACCTCCAGCTTGCCCTGCTCGCCAGGATGCCTTGTGTCAGCTCATGGAAGCTGTGCGCAAACCAAGCGTTGGCGATACCACAGCCAGAGAGAGAAAGGCCCTGAACAGCCTGACCACATTTATAATATTAGTTATATACATTTATAATATCAGTTGTGGACTGCAGCACTGACTGTTTCTCCTGAAAGTAGGATGCTTGCACTTATTCCCGGTAGGTGGATGCCGCCATGAAGCGCCTACGACCCGCACGACATGCAGAACTGAAAGTTCAGGCAGAAGTGGAGGGACCAATTCAGCTATCGAACAACCAACCTTAATTTCGCTTTGGAAGGGTCCGTCTGGAGTGAACCAGCATAAGTAAACTCCGCGTAAAGATTGTAAAGCAAGACAACTAAGTAAAGAAAACTAAGAGTCGGGCACCGAAGCACCAGAACTCGGCCAAGGCTTCGCCAGCCCCAGGCTTCAAATACGTTCAATTGATGTGAAACAGATTTGCATAGATTTGCAACATTTCGAAGTGCTGCGTCCTGGGAGGTGAAGACCTTGCGTGAGGTGAAGAAACACTTTTGGTTCGACACCTTTGAAATCAAAAAGCCCAAGATAGGCATCCCAAGTGATGCAGAGGTACGTGCAACAAGTCCTTGCCGTTTTCAAAGTGTGCGCTGTATGGGGCCTCATGCAGCGGAAGGTTCACTACATGTACCTGTTTTATCCTATTTTGGGGAGCCGACGTCTGCACCAAACCAACCATGTGGCACATACATGATTATATATTGATTATCATGATTTTAATTTTTGATGTTGTTGATTTTTGAATCATTTTGAATCGTGTGCGTTATTTCCATCGAAAATAGCTGCTTTCATGCGGGTGACATTGGGTGATGAACCCTAGGGGTGTCAGTGTTGCACACCACAGGTAGATGCCTGGCAAGATGTTCCTGGACCATCTCAACCGGCAATAGCCCTTCCTGACCCAGAAGCGTTTTGGATCGCACTATCGTCGTTCAATGTTTGGATTTGGTTGGAACATGTGCTGATCCTGGTTGGCATTATTTTGTATGTCTAGTGATGTCTAGTGTCAAGGCGTGTCAACGCTTTGTCCCATAAAAAGACCCGCAGCCCAGACCAACGGTGGCATGATGTTCCATCCCCATGGTGTCGCTGCACCAGCACTTGTGGCTGTCTCTGAGGAGCGGAGGGTGGAGATGGAGACACAGACACCTGTGGACATCGAGGCGGACGCAGTGCCACTTTCTTTGTCGCAACGGCCCTTGCCACAAGGCCCTTGTGGAAGTTTTCTGGTCATTTGGGTGGTCGTTTTGTTGGTCAGTGCTGAATGTTTGAAGTGTTTTTTTTTTCCCCACTGTTTCGATGTATTTCGATGCTGGGGCCCTTGATGTCATTGCAGCCGCTCCGCCAGAGGCTTGCCATCCTCTCCGACCTCTCCCATCTCTCCTGGCGCCTGCGTTCTGTCAGAGCCTGACCTGGCAGAACGAGAAGGAACTCCAGCAGGAACCCCAGGCAGCGGGGATCGGCGCCTGAGCTCCGCATCCTCCATAGGATTCCATAGGGATTCTATCGGACGTTGTTGACATATGTTGACATGAGGACGTCTCTGTGGGTCTTGTTTTTCACGTGGGACATGTTTGCAGGACTGGATGCTGGGCCTGGCTTCAGTGACGTCTTTGCTGGCATGGCAACTTGTCACAACCTGGCAAGTTTTCGACAGCCATGCGTTGCTTGTGGACCTGGCTTCTTTTAGGCTCACAGAAGGGGAAAACATGGTCGAAAGGGTATTGTGACATTGACACCTTGAAGTTCATGGCCAACATTGGCCAACTTTTCCATATTTTCCCCTCTTCTCCTGATGGATTTCAAACAGTTTCTCCAGGGAGTTCCCTCTCGGTGAACGCCCAAGGATGCCCAAGAGCGAGCAGCTGTGGCAGCTCTCGTGCAGGAGCAGGACCAATTGGCCGAGACCTTTGTCCGCATACATCGCAGTACCACAATTCCTGGGTTGCAACCGCAAAATACAACGAGGAAGTGGGGCTTTAGACAGCTTTAGCATGGAAGCAAACTTGTTGACACCAAGCGCGCACACACATGGACAGAGAAAAGTCTAGATGGCTGCAATCTGGACTCATTTGGTAAAATCAAACGTTTCCCCTTGCAGACCCCCACTGCCGACCGGCTTTCGAGGCAAAAGGCTGAATCCGAACGAGCTCTGAAGCGGCAGGTCGCTCAAAGGGCCCAGTGATTATCCCACATTGTCCCCAAGGGATCCCAAAGGTTCCCACACCTCTTGAGTCGCATGGTAAACAGGCATGCCAGTGACACGCTGCGTAACTTGAAGTTTGAATCACATTTTCGATGGTTTTCCACTGAGCGGTTGACTACTGAATGCATCCACCTTGCAAAAGACTTGCGAATTGCGCCCCATCATGGCATGATCGACTGTGGAGGGGTGCTTGATCCGCCTTTTTTATCTCTTTCTCAGCTTCAATCTCTTTTGCATTTCTGGCTCATAGTTTTCAATTCGATAGGATCTGAAGATGAAGGAGCAGGACAAGGCCTTCCAGGTGGGAAGTGCCAGAGAAACCGTGATTGTTTGAAGGCAAAAGTTGGACATGATTTCCATTGATTTCCACTTTTGGATTTTTTGGGAATGAACTCGGACTCCATCATGTATAGCCTCCGCTCACACTGCCCTGTCACATACAAACTTGTATACGCATGTCAACTTGAGTGATGCAATAGTTGAGATAGTTGAGACCGGTTGCTGTTGAAACACTAGGATTCACAATTTGCCGACGATGGCATATTGTGCGTCAACTTGCATCAACTTGCTGTTGCTGTGATTGCGGGTGCCTGGATTTGCCTGAATCTACTTGTACTGGAGCTGGAACTTTGAATGCAGGAAGCGTTGCAAGCTGAGCGGCAGCACTTTGTCGAAGAGCGTGACCGCCTGCGTAACAAGTTGCGGGGAGAAGAGCTGGTCATCGAAACGCGCAAATTGAAGGATGAATTGATCCGGCTGAGACGTGTCAGGCAGAGTTCAGATGTGGGGACTGTGAAGGCTGTTGGGTGCTGAAAGATGCTTCTGTGGTAGACACGCCCTAGATATGCTATCTGCCCTCTGGGAACGCTAGGCCGATGCGAAGGGATGCCCAGCAAGTTCTTTGGTGGACGGAGGACAGACGTTTGAACTTCAACGTTGGGGCCTGTTGGGGGATGAAACTGAGACTTCATAGCCCAACCGAGCCCAACCAGCCACCCTTGTGTGCCTAGGAGGACATGAACCACGTGATCGCTGGAAAGCAACTTCTGATGCGTCGAGCTGCAGGAGCAGACTCGAAAGCAGAAACTGGGATCGCAATGGACAAGCTTTGCATTGGTTGAAAGCTTTGCATTCCTTTGCCATATCAGGCGCATGGAAAAAATGGATACGATAGCAATGCATCATAAATCGGTTGATTTGGATGTATTTCGGATGTTTAAGGGTTGAATCTTGGGACATCTTGTGCCTCTCGGCCCCAATTCCAAGGAAGGGATGTGTGCTTTTGCCATTGGCACCGCTCGTGATTGGCTCTTCCGTTGCCGGGAGATGATGGAGTCTCAGTCATTTGCGCCAACGGGTACCAGCATGGCAAATGCAACTGCTTTGACGGAGCAAGGCGAAACAAAGCTGAAACTCGGTTGCAACAGGTTGCAACAATCCCCCCTGAATCTTCTCGCAGCCGCCAAGAAGGGGAAAGTGTGTGCAAGCCCCACCCCACCCGATTGATCATTTTATTCAACCAATGAATTGTTCTGTCCTTTAACTTTATTCGGAAAGAACGCCAGAGGATGCTCTCAGCACCCTTGAAAGTGAGGAAAAGGCATATGGTATTCTTGGGTCCTAGGTTCAACAGGCAAAAGAGGTTGCAACAAGTGTGCTACTGTAAGCTCAGCTCGTCAAAAAAGGTGCGGTTTGGGGAGATAGAAAGGCTCTGAGTTCTTTCACGTCCTTGCTGTTTCTCCCATGATGAGGTTGACCTTGGATGAGCCTAGATACTTTGCAAATGTTTGCAGGCTTGTGTCATCTGATGTCATCTTGTGTGTTTTCATATGTTTTCATATTGCCATGGCTTCGGCATGCTTCGGCATGCTTCGGCATGCTTCGGCCAGCCAAGGAAGGCACACTTTGCCAAAGCCGTGGAGACGGTTGGCCGCTTCAAGTCACATGCCAAGACCTTGGTCGACACCATGCTGCCAGAAGATCGCAGTCACCAGGCGGAGAGGCAGGATTTTGCATGGACACAGCGTAGCGGCTTATTGATGCTTACTGACTTACTGACTTACTGATGTTTTCTGTGCCTTATGGAGCCTGTGTCAGTGGTGAATCGCAAGATTTTGGTATTGAAAGTGACATGACGTAACACTTCTCAGTCATGTGGCCATGGTTCAGCCTGCGGTAGATTGAACAATTCCTGTGGCCATGAACACTTTGGCTCTGGACGGATTCCAAGTTGGGATTTCTGACTCGGTACCTGGAGGTTGCAACCTCGACCAGAGAAGGTGGAGAAGGGGTTGGAGATTGAACGGGAGATGGCCAAGGCGCAAAGCCACTTGATCTCTTTTGTATTCTTTTGTTTGAGGGTCCTTGATACCCACTGCAATCCACTCCATGTGTGCGCAGTATGTGCATGGCTCGCTCCCCTGGTCCCTTCAGGGAGCAAGAGAAGCAGTTACGACACGACTTCGAGATGCAGAGGCAGTGATGACTCTAAGAACGGGTGTGGAACGGGGGCCTTCGCAGGTATGCATACCATGCACTATCATGCACCCCCAAGGGGAACTTATGCGACTTTCTGATCTTTCTGCAAAGGCTGCCATCACTAGTTCCATTATGATCCTTATGTGAATCCTATTGAATCCTATCAGTGTGAGGCCAAGCTGGATAGACTGGCAGAAGACGTTTCTTGCCAAGATCTCATTATTTAGTTTCAGCTCTTGAGATAGCGCGGCTCCTTCTTGTTCTGATGTATTGCTAAATATTGCTAAGCACATCTAAGCACCATGACCATTTGTGACGGACATTGCTGGCAAAGGTGGATGCCCATGAAGCCCACGCTAAGTAGTGGAGATGTGTGGAGATAAACCTCACCAGCAACATCTGCGAACAGGTGCTGTATGGTGCTGTACTGGTGCAGTGCCATAAGTTTGCTGATGATTTCCAGCACTGCCCAAAACTAAGGACCTGGCGGCTGATTTCCTCACTAGGTGGACAGAGCAGATTAGCGCGGTGAGCCTCAAAGGCATGCAGACGCAACGACGGACAAAGGACCCGGTTTGGGGCTACGCAGCTACTTAGTTTCCTGCACAGGCAGTATGATGTAGGTGTCACAAGGTGTGACATTTGGTGACGGGATTGGAGCACCTTCTTCACTTGGAGCCGCTGGTTGGTGCATCTTCCGTTCCACTGCGCCGGCATATGCGGCCAGTCTTTAGTGGTCACAGGCAGCAGCCAGAGTTCAAACTACACCAAACTAACTCCATTTTTAAGTCAAACAGTGCATCCATCCATCCATTCTGACAGATATTGACCAATTCCTTCATATTATTTCACATTGATGCCGTGGGACTTTGCATCCCTGGCCCTGTCCAAGTGCCCACGAGGAGTTGTCGGGGCGCATTGAGACTGCACTGCGGAAGGAGGTGAGGGTGCGGGAAATCGAACGTGAAAAGAAATGGAAAAAAACATGCTGAAGGAAGATAGACGACAGTGAGCTTCAGTGAGCATGTAAACTGGAGAGATGCCATAAACTCTATAGCTACAACTATGAGTACAGTATACAGTATGTAACTATAACTATAGTCTATAGTGTTTATATAATACTACTTGGTGGCTATGGCCTTATTATTCCGCAATGCAAGTGAGTGATCTCTACAGCTTTCGATTCTGAGCATCTCTGCCTCGGGCTCTGCTTCATGGTGTGCACAGGCGGCAAAGTACCGCACAGTTGCGCAAGCGGCATATGCTGACATTGCGGTGCCTTGCAATCTAAAATTTACACACAATAGCCATGGTATGGCAGATCAATGGCAGCTGCAAGGCAACATCATGAGCAAAACAAGCACACATCAGGTCAATGAACAACCACAATGAATATCATGGATACAATTGAAATCAATTGAATATTTCAAAAAAAACTACGGATCAATGCTCGGCCTAGCCTTGTCTCATCCGGCGAGGGACTTGTCCATCTCACATGTTGAATACAGTAAATCCATGTAAATCGACTTACTTGGCAGTTTTCGATCCAATTCCCTCAAGATAAACCTGGTTAATGTATGTTGATATCCATTCATAGTGCTTAATAAATGGTTAATATCTACCAACTGCATCTAATTCTGGCTGGTGGTTGAGCCCTACCCCTCTGAAAAATATGAGTTCGTCAGTTGGGAAAATTGACATTCCCAACTGAATGGAAAGTCATAAAATTCATGTTCCAAACCACCAACCAGATATATACTTGTTTCCAAATGAAATTACTGTTGGAAAGACTTGGTTTAAATCTCAGATGTTTGGAAATCCCTACTTGGCTATCCCAGATTCTATGAGCGCATAATGATCATAATGGATCTCATTTGCAATGGGCCTGTGATTGTTATTACCTTTCCACATGAGTTGTTTGAACATGGGGTATATCCAAATATATCCATCCAATATATATCCAAATATCCAAGTTATGGCCATCGAAGAATAGGGAAAACGTCTTCTGAAACTGGCTGGATTTGCCAGTGATGTTGAAAAATGTGCCATTGGCTTCGAGTGATTTCCTGCATTCTTGAATATTCTTGAGCTGCATGTTCATGGAAATGTTGGTTGCTCATGGTTGCTCTATTTTTGCCCAGTATTTTACATATTTTATCAACAAAATATGGAGTCTATGAGCGGCCTGCAGAGAAGAAATGGTTTCGGATGCATCACCAGATGTTTGGCTCTGCGCTGAGGCAGATCGAGCAGCAGAAGCAGCGATCAAAAGAGCGGACGAAGCTCAACAGCGCCAAGAAGCTCGCGAGGCACAGCCACGGTTCCCCTTTGTCATCCAGGATGCGACGGGAATGTGACCTATAAAATCTGAGAACATGAACTAGTAGGAATTAGTGAACGGCCTTGTCTTTCTAGGTGGTATTGGCACGTTTTGGCATTTATGGCAGCTTGGAAGTGCTTTGCGCTGCTTTGAGGCGGCACGGCAGAAGGACCTTGACCAAGCTGCCCGAAGAGAGAAGGACCTTCCTCTTCAATCCTCAGATGTGAAGAGTTTTGATGCGGTGCTTCGATTCAAGCAGTGTATCAGTGATTCTGGAGGTATATCCTGACAGTCCAGGATAAAAAGACGAAAGAAGGAGAAAAGATGGTGCCTGTAAAGCTGCGGATGAGCGGTCTAAAGCCCACACCCCAGAACAATCAGGAAATCTCAAGTTGATCTCGATGTGTCGCTTGATGTTTTCTTTTTTTCATTTTTTTCTCTCGCCCCTCCTTTTCAACCACTTATAAGTACTGTAAACTGATGTAAACTGTTTGTTGTTATACTTACTCTGCTTTGTTATATACTTTGTGGTTTCAGTGATGTTGGGTTGAAAGCAGTTCAGGTCAACAGCCATTGACGATAAGGCCGGTGAAGTCAAGTGCGCTCACCATTCTGTAGGCGATTTCTTGTATTTTGTTGTCAAAACCTGCATCTTTAAAGAGACCATTTGAAGTCGTTTTTCTCAAGCTCAAGCTTTGGTTGTGTTGGTTTGGGTTTCTTGACCGAAAATGGTCTTGACATGTTTTGACCACTACGTGTATTGTATCATCCACTATCTCCATTACTTTCTTGTCTCTGAATTGAGGCAAAATTCGGGCAGTTTGCAGAACAGAAACTGGCAAAAGCGCTGGACTTGAAAGAATCCCAGGTTTCTTGCTGCAAGACTGGGATGGTGCTGACTGAATGGAGTAAAAGAAGGCGGAATGGTGTCCTGACGAGCGCTCCAATTAGTCAATGGATGTCAAAGGCACTTCCTAATACTAATCACTTGCGCATTTGACTACAATTTCTACTCTCGACAATTCAGCTAGTCCAACTAGTCAACCAATGCAAGCCAAGATCCACATCAATCCACATCCTTGGCAAAACACGGCAATTCCGTATCATTTGTAATCATCTGCAATAGTTTGCGGAAGCATCGATGCTGTCGTACCGAGTCGTACCGTTGAGCCCGTGTGTTTTATATTGGCAGCTTAGGTGCGGGTAACTGGCATCAGATGATGCTAGACCGGTGCGCAGTGCCAGCCTTTGAGCTGCAGAAGGTGCACAGCGATCACAGCCTCTCCTCACTTCAGGATACTTCAGGTATCTTCTGATGTGAGCCTAACTGGGCTGAGAAACTCGTGTTCTACTTGTGTTCTGGCTGTGCATTTTCTCCATGCTCCTCCATAGTGATAGTGTCTGATATTCTTCCAGGCAGTTTCCTTGCGAACCCAGATGGGCTGCATATCACGCATATCTAGATTGGTCTAGACAAAAATCAAACAAGTAAATTACATATGTTGCATATTGTGGCATAGTCTGCAGGATCCTCAAGGAATGCAGCGCAGAAGATCAGATATCCATAGATATCCTGTCATTGTCTTGTCATTTTTGGCCTGTGAAGGGGCGATGTTTGGCTCTGCGCTGGCTCCGCCAAGTCTGCCATTCCCATTTTCCCCTGGGCCAAAGGCCCCGGACTGGGAGGCCGCAGTCAAAGTGCGCGCTCGCCGGTGTTCTTTCGGGTCATTTGTCAGACTCACTGTTTTAAATAACTGTGTGTATATACATATATATATATATATGTATACATACATGTATATTATTTGTTCACACATATAGATACATATAGTTACTCTGGTTCAGTTGTGTACATGATCCTGTCAATCTTTACACCTTGACATGACTGAAAGCCTATGGACACTCGTGCAGGTCAATGACGGGAGCTATACTTGGCACATTCACGCTTCTGCTCCAGTGTGGTCGGCATCTGTAGGCATTCATAGCGTGACAGTGCCGCGGAAATTGGCTTTTCACAGCTTCTGGCGCTGGTGAGGACCAGCGTTTTTAAATTGAGAGAAACAAAAGGAATTCCAAGCAGCATGCAGGTGCACAGAGCTTAAAGTATGCCAGCGTGCGGCATTCCAGCATATATTTAGTGAGCCCAGCTGCCATACACTGTACTTGTTTATTTGTTAAAAGCATTTCTGGCATTTCTTTAAGCTTCAGACATTGGAAGCCTGTAGAACACAGACATGATCCGATCAATTGCCAAGTTTGGGGCTTTGCCCAAATTTGAAGCACCAATCGCATCACGTCGCCATGGAACCGATTGCGCCTATTGCCATCAATGTGGTGCTGCCTTCGGGGGAACAAGTGGCGCAGCTCATGGTCAACCCTGAGAAGTCGATTATGCAGATGAAGACTCAGATCGCTGGACTGGAAGGCACCTGCCTTTCTTTATTTTTCTTGTCGTTTCCACATTTCACCATTGATTCGAGACATTCCACCTGTTCAAAAGGGTGCTCTTGCGACGCTTGCTAGTGTGACCTCAGCTTTTCAGGTACACCGGTGGCAAATCAGGTTCTACTCCTGAATGACCAGCAAGTGGAAGATGCGGACACGCTCCGGAGTTTGAACGTTTCTTGCGAAGCCACTTTCCTCCTGTTGCGGCGTGCCCCTCTGCTTTCTGGTGCAATCAATCGAGAAGAGCTGGAACATCTTCTGGAGGAAACGGCATAAAATAGTTCAGTTGTGTGTTGGGGGTCATCAGATGAATACAGCCACTGGGAGGAACTTGACGCATGATGTACATATGCTTGAATGTGTCATGCTGCACACATGATGGTCATTTGTTGAAGTAGCATTAGATCGTTAGATTGAAAGTCGTTTTTCTTTGGTTGTATGGCTTTACAGGACAACCTGGCCTTGGAACAAGCCATCGTGGCATACAGCGATTCATTGCAATACTTGCCCTCAGACATAACCACTATCTCTGAAGAAGTTGCTGAGGGCCTTGTGGCTAGTGGATCTGGCCACGATAAGGCCGCACTGCTATCGGGCAGACAGGTGGAGCTATGGCAGGACATCGCTAAACAGACAGGGAAAGCTCGACAAGTTGCCTTCTCCAGGGCTTTACGAAAGGAGTTAGAGCGCATTTCCGCTGCATTGCCACTTGGATCCGTTGGAACTGGGCCTTCAACCAGTCATCGACGGCAGCGAACCGCAAGTGACGACGTCCCACGGGCTGAGCTTCCGCAGTCTGCAGCTTCCTTCGCAGCTCCCGCAGCAGCCCCTGCAGCAGCCCCTGCAGTTCCAGTAGCAGCTGAGCAGCTCGCAGATCCCGCTGTCCCCGCTGTCCATGCTGTTCCAGTGCAGCCGCCAGCTGTCGAATCTGTGCAGGTTGCGCCTGGTGTAGAGGTGGCGCGCCCGGCTCCGAAGAACGCCAGGCATTACATGCAGCTGCTGCAGCATGCTGAAGGCCCTCAAGGCCCTCAAGGCCCTCAGGGCGGCAGAGATGCCCAACCAGCTGCAGGTCCTTTGGACGAACTAAACCTACGGCACATTGACGTACAGAAAGATGATGCCCGTTTTGCCAATCATCCATGGATGGGAGTTACTTGCCGGCAAGAGTGGGGTCATCATCAAACGTGTGTCATTGCCAAGTTCTTAATCGAGTGGGGCCACGCATTTATCGGTCCAGTGGTTCCTGGCAGTGCGAAATAAAATCACACATAGTTTGTGTACAAAGCCATTCTGCAACCAGTTCAATAGGTAGTCCTGTCAAACCCTAGAGTCCTAGAGCACATTGCTCAACAGAACTGCGCCTTGTCATCGGTCCTGTCGCTGAGGCTGGGGTGGAGCTGAAGCTTGGTAGATCATTAGTATTATTACAGAAAGTTTGCTGATGCCAAGGAAGACCCCAAGATTCCGTAGGAGGGAACCTACAATTGATGTCTCACTGACCAGCTTCCAACATAATTAGCTTGTGCCTTTGGGGTGTTTGACAAGAGATTTTAACAGTCTTGACTTGGTACATGTACCTGTTTGTAACCAGTTGAAGCGCTGACGCGCCTTTCACAGTATTTCGCTATATTTCGCTCTATATCTTGAATTGAGATAGCCGAGGAAAACCTATCTTCACCGTCAATGGGCGGTGTGTGAAGGCGAGTCTCCTAAGCAGAACCTCCATGTGTAGCAAAATGGAATGATGTTGTCGCTCGGACATCATCGCACGACGAAATTTTAAAAAGGCACTGCAGCGGCTGAGAAACTTGCATCATGACATATCATGACAACTAGCTTGCAATATGCAGAACTGCACCCATGTGAGCGTGCTTCCCCTGAGGTGACTTGACGTTGTTGTTTCGAATTTTTGTGATATCACAAAATCGCGCAAAATGTACACTATACACGCAATGATTTTGAACATGTGCCATTCATTCTCCTACATGTGAAACCCAGAAAAAACTTCACTCTCCCAACAACTATACAAGACCCAAGTCAACAGCATTCTAGCATCCCAATTCACGAAAATAAACCAGCAACAACTATCCATCATTTTTGCTGAAACAATGCCAATCATTTGGCACATGGTGGGTGAACAAGGTTATGTTCAAGTCGCAGATGGCGAATGCTTTCCGTTGGCTCAAGATGATTTGTGCATTTTTTCATGTCAGCCCCCCCGCAACCCACAAGCAGGGAGGCACATGTCCGACGAAAAGGTGATGTTCCTCCGCTGCATTGCCATTGGATCCAATTGGATCTAAATGGATCCAAATGGCACATAGGCATCATATAGCCTTCATATAGCCGGGATCCTGGGGGACACCGAGGCCTTCAGGGCCTTCAGGGCCTTCAGTCAGTCAATGGGAGACCTCGGCCTCGGCCTCCGTGGTCTCGGTGGCCTCGGCGTCCCGCTTTCATGACCTCGTTGAGGAGCTGATTGCGGTACACGTCCGAGAGGCTGGTGGGACAATGGTGGGACAATTGGAACCAACTAGCAGGTGCTCGAAGCTGTTCTGGGAACGGTGGATGAAAAGTTGGTGAAGGAAGGATAAACATGATAAAAAGGCAGGTTAAGAATGGTTAAGATATGAAGTCGCAAGGGGGCTTTCATGAATTGCTTTGGATGATTTCCGAGGAAGCCATGTGCCGGGAAGTTGGCGTCTTCTCTGAGGTCGATCAGCTTCAACTTGAAGTAGACCGACTGCGCCAATCGGCGCCAGCGCCCGAAGGAAGGTGCCTGGACAAGACCGAGTGAAGTTGCGCAATTCCAGTGCCAATGTCAGTTACATTCAGAAGCACACACACAGACAATCGCGGATCACTATATCACTATATTTAGGAGATTCTCATGAGCAGTCAGAACACTCAAAGATGAATGAACAAGCATTCTGACTCACACCGCACTTTTTTCCATGAGCTCAAGCCATTCCGGTCTTTGAGTTGTGCAAGTTTCTGGCTGCATGGATCCAGACTGCTCTGCCGAGTTTATGGATGAAGCAGTTGATGCAGCTGCACCTGATTTGAAGTCAGATGAGTTTGATGTGCAGCCGCTGCAGGTCTTAAAGTTACCACCAGTCAGGAGTGCCTCGCGGAAGGCCGTCACACGCTGCCGGGCATCTCTGACTGTGACCTCTGAGGTGGCTGATGCCGAGCTGACCTTGGAATTGTTGGAAGGTGAGATCTTGGAAGCCTTTCCAGTACCACTTCCCCTGGGTGAAACTGTTCGGCAACTGCGATCCAGTGGTGCCATCCTGGGCCAACTTTCTGTGTCCGGCGTTCCCCCGGTGCCTTTTGGGGTGCAAGTGGAGGTCCGGCCCAGTGCCGCGGCAGTGTCGAGCTCCACCCCTTTGGTGTCCAACGCCCTCAGCCGCCGAAACTTCGTGGCCTCTGAGCTGAGGACACGGAGCGTGGCCATGGGAGCTGAGGAGTTGAAGGTCAGCAACGGCCTCAACGCGGCCGGAGAAGGGACTGTGGTCGAAGTGGCGGTCACTGAGGGCCATGAAGCCGCGTTGACCGTCAAGATTCGTCAAGCCAAAAAGAAAGAACTGAACAAACTGGCACAGCAACAAGCCCTGAGATTGGCCATGGAGAGGGGTCGCTACAGCAGCTTGCTGGCGCAGATTGCACGCTCCAAATCGAGAAAAGTGGAGGCTTCCCTGATAGATGAAGCTAGCCGCATGTTGAAGACCTTGCAGCCAAAGGATGGCTCTTTCATGACCCACAAAGAGTTGGGCCACCTGATGAAGTGGAGCAAAGCTACTTCCCCGGATGGCGCCTGTGAAGTGGTGCAGCCATGTGACAGTTCTGCAGACTGTCCTTGTAACCGGGGCTATGCATCTCCCGGCGAGCTGTGCGATGTCATCAATGACGCCGTGACCGACGCCCTCCGAGGTGTGGTACCTAGCCACCTTTCTGCAGACGAGTGGCTCTTCAAAGCTTTGGTGAAGGCAGCCCTGATGGCACCAGAAGGTTGTGTTTGGAAATCCGGGGGCAAGTTTCTTCTCACAAATGAAGAGAGGAACCAGTCTGCCACTGCGATAGTTGGTGTTTTGGAGCGAGAGAACCAGGAGACAGATGCTGGCAAAGGTATCCGGGCATTGGTCGATTACACGGAGCAACACTATGGCTACAGAGTGACTGCCGTCCAATTGAATTTTCACCCCAACCAAAAGTCGTCACACAAGCAACATCGAGATATCTACGGCGCAGGGCAGAAGGGTGGTATCAACTGCACTTGCAGCTTCATGAAATGCACCGGCACAGTGTGTTATTCTCTGGGCTCGAGTCGGCAAGTGCTTTGTGAGACCATCGCCGACTCACGCTCCAAGTACGAAACCTGTGGTGAGGACTGTGCTGGGATGAAGACCTATAAATGGATGCACAGTGGCAGCGCTATGCATTTCAATGCCCCTTGGAATAACAACCACACGCATGGCATACCTCCCATGGATGATCCCTGTGGCCCAAGAATCTCCGTTGCCTTACTTTGTGCATGACGGCTGAGTATGACGTGTACGACCACAACTTGACCTAGGCACTGCAACATCTGGAACTGCTCATGGCAGTGCCTTTCCCTGTTATTCTTGGCAGCCTTGGCTCCTTCAATTGGCGAAGCCAATTGCAAGGCAAAGCATGGTGTGGCGAAGACTAAACCCTGAGCCACTCCCCACAGAAAAACTGGACCCAGTGCAATTTTCCCCTTTTCCAAACAGTGTTTCTTGATTGCTGCACATTTCCCAAGTCCCAAGTACTTCACCACATCACATGCCGCAGGGTGAGCAAGCAGAGAATGCTCCAAGCGCCTGCCAGGTCGAGATCACCAATTCATAATCTCTCGCCTCCAGTTGAGGCAGGCAGTTGCCCTTTGCGCCTCTGTTGTTGATGCACATGGGACGCTGCCAAGTTTTGAAACAGCCGGTGCCATCATTGAACCATACTGAACCACTCATTATCATTCCATCCGTTCCATCCTATGGCGTGCATTTTCGTTGATTCATGGTATTCATGCATGATCCTGGCATGTGCTTCGCAGAGACAGGAAGTGCGCATCGAGCCGCCTGAAGTGCGGAAATCGAGAATCACAGGAATCACAAGCAACAAAAGTGGTGATTTGGGCACTATCAGTGTTGCGAGCCGGGCTAGCCACTTGTCCACAGGCCCGCCAAACTTGAGACTGCAGTTGGTAATTCGACAGATAGATAGATAGATAGATAGATAGATAGATAGATATATAGATCAGATGGACGGACAGACGGAAACCACAGATAGACCGGACAGATATTTGACATATATGCGCAATGCACTGTATAAGATAAACACATTTAAACATTAATTAGATGATTGTGCAGATTACATATGTGGTACGTTTGTCATTCAGCGTTATTTTCTTTATAACATTTGAATGTTCCAGCTCCAGCGCAGACTTGTCGATGGAGGTACGGAGCTAGACTTGGACCTGGTCTCTGATGAATCCAGCGAAGTGCCGGAAGCAAACGAAATCCAAATAAGTCGAACAAAGGCGTTCTTTTTGAGCGGCTTCTGAGTTGCAGAAAATACCCATAGCATCCCATAGCATCCCATAGCTGCACCCAAAGTGTGCAGAAAGAAGAAACTGCTACAGAGGAACAATTCATGTAGACCAGCATGATCTGGCACGTTCAGGTTCCTTCGAAGCTCTAATTGCTGGTCTTCTGTTTGTAAATATCTGTGGCCTGGCATCAGCAAGACGACAGATGTCGAACAGGACATTTCTTCCTTGTTTTGGACATTTCTTCCTTGTTTTCCTCAAGCCAATTGCTCGTGACATTCATGGAGCTCCCACTGCTCTCCGCACTTAGTGTGCATAGAATGCCAGAAAGTGCATGTGACCCCCAAGCTAACTTGGTAGCTTGGTAGCCCTGCAGTCGGGTTCTGCGCCATACGGCGCCTGTGACGCCTGTGAGGCATGATGGCAGCGCAGCTTCAAATCCTGGGCTTGAGCATTGGAGATGACATTGACTACCCACGATACGGGACTTCGCCTACCAAGGCAGCCTCCTTGGATCTGGCACCACAGCAACTTATTGCAGCTCCAACATCACTCGATGGTGGCTTTTTGAGGACATGACTTATGCATGATCAATTTGTCCACATGAATATCCAACTCGGACGGCAGGCTTGGCCTTACTTTGATGATTTCTTCTTTTATGGCGACCTCGCTTTTGCGGTTGTCTTTACGTGTCTTGGTTGGTCATGTTGGGCCGCTTTTTCTGCTTCACGGCTTCATTGCATTCATGTTTCATCGTGCTGCTCCACTGCTGCCGCTTCTGTGATGAAACCCGCACTCGCACTGAGGGTGGAGATGATGATCCGACAGTTCTACCTGGGGATTGCATTTTTCAGATATGCTTTAAACTGGCTGGACTTTCTGGTGGTGTGCAGCTCATGGGTTGAGCTGTTTGCTGCTGGCCTGCCTATCAACCCAACCTTCCTACGAATGCTCCGGCTCGGGAAGTGCCTAAGTTGCAGAATTGGCTTCAGATGTTATCATGTTAGAAGTTCATGTGCTGAGTTTTGCATGTTTATATATAGTTATGTGCGATGGATGATAGGCCCAACCGACCCAATTCGAAAGTGAGAGGGAAGGGTAGGCTTCACAGAATCGACATTCTCTTGCAGGTTCTTTAAGTTTGGGTCTTCTGAGTCGTTCTGGAAGTGTAGGTTGCTTCGAGCCATTCGAGTGGTCCGCATGTCTCAAGTCTTGGAATCACTACAGCTTCTTTTGTCTCTCGGCGTGATGCAACTTTCATGTGGCACTGGGATCTAAATCTTTCAGGTTGAAGACATGTTACTGCTTCATTGCACCTTGCGCTTTCAACATTTTTCAACATTTTCAACATCTTTCAAGTTTTTCAAGACCTTCCAAGACCTTTCATCTATTTAATCTATTTTTCATATACTTTACTTGACTTTTGCCTATCTTCGGACTGGATTAACTTCCCAGGAAGTGCATCGCAGCCAGTGCAGCTTGGCAGAGCTTTCATCAAGACCGCTTTCTTGACGGGGGTTCTGCTTGAAACACCATGTTTTTTTGATGCGTGCATGTGCATGCCAAGGTTAAAATCCTCTTTTGGTCCTTGCTGCTTGGAGTGTCAAGATGGGAGGGCAGCTGGAATCAGAGTTGTTTCTGTTGATGCACACTTGCGCCCATGGAACATAATCCAAAAGCTGTCAAACCAGTGGCTTCTTTGCTTTGCACCGTGCACTGCCTGCACTGTTGCACTTGTCTTTGGAGGTTTTTGTTGATGATCATTCAGATCAGCGCTGGGATGAGCATAAGTTATTTGGCCCTCGCCCCAGACACCACCAGCCACTGCCATCCTTGCTGTGGTCATTTTTGACCTTCGCGACGGACAGGTCAGCGAATACCTGGTGGACGATTCGATTCAGATTGAGGAACGCCGGGAGGTCTTCAGATACTATGGAACTTGCACGAAGACCTTGCTCACAATGTTTGAGGCCGTGCACTTTTTTCCAAGTTGGTTTTACTATGTTTTGGTCAATCCACATGGAACCTTCTCCAAGAGCCTCCGGCTATTCCGCCGGCCTCTGGCCCAGTGGCCTAATGGATGTGGGCCAAGCGAAGCCTGTAACAAAACCACTTGTGCTTGTTGATGTAAAGGCTTCCTGGTGTAAACGCTAATTTGTGTAAAATTTAGCATAGCATAAAAACTCAAAGTGGGTTGTGCAAGAGCTAGTTTGTGTGACAGCTAATTGGTGTCAGTGTAAAAGCTAGTTGGGGCAAAAGCTGGTTGGTGTAACAGCTCGTTATTTTAACAGCTTGTTTGCAAAAAAATAGACGCACCACCTGCCGCAAAACGCCGTTGTGCTTTTGGTGTTGTTTAAGACGTCTATATCCAAGGGTTGGTGTGGGGTGGAGTGAGGCAGGGTGGGCTAATAACGTTCAATTTGCCTCTATTACCAATGTTCTTGATGCATTTGATGCTAACCTCTTAAACGTTTTGAAACAACTTGCAACACACTCTTGGTGCTCCGCTCCCAACGTTTTCAAGCAACTTGTAACACGCTCTTGATGCCACGCGCTCAACTTCCCAGCAACTTGCAACATGCTCTTGATGCTACACCCTTTTCTCTTGGAACTTGCGCGTAGACGACACGTTATTTTACCTAGATGGGTGTGGTAATCAAGTGGTTTGGTTCTAAATTCTATTTCTCAACTAGTTGGGACGCAAACCCCAGAAAGTATCAGACTGCAGAACTGCAGAAACAATGGATCCTGATTTGGATACCTTGATCTTCCAATTTGTCTTTCGTCAAAGCGTGCTACCTGCGACGCCACAGGTCTTATGTCAGCTGTCACAAGACTTTTGAAATCTTCGTGTCCGCAGCCCGACAAAGATGTGCACCAAGTCTCGATTTTCCAAAATATTCACCACGTCCTTGGTGGTTGGGAGCAAAATTACTTTCTTCGAGTGATCCCCACCCTGACACACTACTGTGTATTATATATATATATCACACACACATGCACACACACATATATATATATGTACATATATACATATTTAACACACACACATATATATATATATATATATTTGTATAGATGCATATATTCTGACATTCTATCTGGCATTCTTTCTGGCATTGTACTCTGACATTCTATTCTTTCTGGCATATGTATGCGGCATATCTTCTGACAGTCTTTCTGGCATTCTATCTGGTATATCTTCGGAAATTCTGTGATTGAGGTCCGGCAGGGAACGCTCTGATCCGGAGCTCGCGATTGAGGTCCGGCGCGGAATACTTTGATCCGGAGCTCGCGGTTGAGGTCCGGCCGGGAACACTTTGATATACTTTGATCACCCATGACCCGTAGCTTGCAGTTGAGGTCCGGCGGGGATCGCTTTGACCCAGAGATATCCAGAGGTTGCTGTTCGGGTCCGGCGGACACTGCGATCTAGAGCTTGCAGTTGAGGTCCGGCGCAGATCACTCTGATCCTGGGCTTGCTGTTCTGGCGGCGAACATTGCGATCTAGCGCTTGCAGTTGAGATCTGGCGGGGATCACTCTGATCCTGAGCTTGCTGTTCGGGTCCGGTGGGGAACACTGCGATCTACAAGTTGCAATCGAGGCCCGGGGGAGGAGAAGAAGGAGAAGGAGGCGGGACAGCTGACGTAAAACCCAGCAGCGCTCACCTGACAGGCGGGGGAAAAAACTTAGACTTAGAGTTTGATCCCTTCTACGGGTGTCTCTGATCAATATTCCCCCCCGCGGAGCTACGCACACAGCATGTGCAATGAAAATCTATACAGGAGAAGCCCATTGGAATTACGTATTTCACAATGAATTCATGAAAAATAGCTATTTCAAACCACTGCGAAATGCAAAGCGGTCATGCGCTATTTTCACTTGAACCACGGGGGGTGTGCGTATTGGACTCACAAACACAGCTGTACAACACAAGTGTTCCAACTTAGCCACTTAGGACTACGTGTCCTGAGGGGATTTCTTTCACCCCCCTTTGGGGCACTTGTTCTGCACTTTGCATGCCACGGATGCTTAACATCAGGCTTGTCACCAACTCTTCAACAGAAAACAACGACCAAATCATCACGACGTGGTTTCGAAAGTTTCGCTGCAAGTGTTTGTCTGCGTGTGTTTGGTCAGCCTTGCGGTGTGATTCGGCTGTTTGCATTTTCAGTTCCACAGTTACAGAACTGAACTACTCCAGTTTTGCCAGCCGTTTGCGGAAGAGGAACGTAATTGTCACAACTATCTTAAGTACCTTAGCATACCTTAGCGCTCTAGAGCTGAGTTTCCAACTAGGAAGTCTGAATCTGAGCTCGCAACTACTGTGCTTTGTCCATGCTTCGAATTTACTGCGGGCGGTGTTTCCTGCCGTTGTGAAGGTAGCATCCTACGTCTGCGCAAGATTGCACCATTGCGTAGCTGTCGATGCCACAAGCGGTTTCCACTTCTTGAACCCTACACTTGAAACATCTTGAAACAATTCGGAGTTTCGTACATCGCGTATGTTCCTCAAAACCTTTGTCAATCAAATCAAGCACACCTAGCCCCCCCAAAGATTCCAACATCTCACTTTCTGTCGCCACATGTTTGGTTAGCGTGTTACCCGGGTTTCGTTTTCCATCAATCTTACCTATGAGCACTTGTTTCGTGCGAAAGAGCGAGGCTCTTGGATGTACATGTGCCCTACAGCAACGTGCCTCATCTTACCTAAACCTAATCGTTTGGCAGCTTGCAACGTGGCTGAAGAAACGCACCAAAGCCTGGGGGTATCCACTCTTAACCCAAAATCATCTTGAACCAAGTTTTGCACATACACCGAGCTCTCTGCACAACACGTCAAGGACCGTACCCCGGCTTCACCTGAACTGGTCGCTGGGACGCCTGGTTGTGTCGTGCTGTTTGTCTCGACGACAGTAGCCGACAAAAAAAGTTAATTCACCAGAACTTGATTTTCGGGTTTCCTCGCATCCTGCCCAGTCACTGTCTGTGTAGGCATGCAATGGTAATGGGTCACGAGGGTCCAAACCGTCCGCAAGTTTACTGACATGTCCATAATTTTTCGTCCCTGCGCGATACCGAGCAAACACTTTCAACCAACTCCTTCACTGCAAATTTGAGGTCTGCCCGATCTTGACTCAAATAGATACTGGCACCTACGCCTGAAGCATAAATCTCCTTCTCTTTGTTTGACAACAAGTCCATGTTTCCGATGGTATTCAAGTCAAGTTTGCGTCCTGGCAGGACTCCCGCTTTTGCATCCTCCATTCCCAGCTTTGTCTTTATGTTTTGTACGTGTTTGTCGTTTGGTTTGGTCACAACGCAGCCATCAACTGTATACTTTTCCCTGCCGAGATACTCGGAAGAGGTCCCAGATTCACCTTCCATGCCTTCAAGTTCGCCTACCTCATTCAGCTTACGCCCAAACCGCGGAAGCTGGATTTCCAATACATTTTTCAAGCCTTCTGCTGGGCCACACGCTTCAAAATCATCCACGTGATGGATTAGGATGGTTCCTAAAATTTGGCACCGGTATCAGCAGGTGTCAATGCTACCTCGTTGGAAACAATAATTGTTACGGTCCAACTTGTTGAACAAGATATGCTCCAATTCTTGTCTGTACGCGGCTGCCGCGGGTTGTCGCCCATAGATGTTGCCGTCTGCTTGCCACACCATGTGTTCCTTGGGGACATTCGCGAGCTCACGTTGAACCTGAGGATCTTGCCTGGCTAACCCAGCATGGCATACTCATCTAGCCATTCCTGGGGAGGCCCGAGACATGTAGGTTGGCCTTGATCGTCCCCACTGTCGCGAACGACCAGGAAAGCACTAGTCAGATCAGCCTTTTACGCGGGGGAGACGGCTTTGTAGACCGTGTTGCGCACCTGCTCGGCAAACTGAACCTATTGCACCTTGAAAGTTGGTGGATGGCTTCCGGGAATGCTTCCAGCTTGAACTGTCACTGCAGCCCGTTGGTTCCGCCTGGCAGCTTCTGTTTCTTGTATCTTGGATCGGCTCAAGCCCTTCACTATCCTCAGACTCCTTGCCTTCCTGTTTGGCGCGCACTCCTGCTCCCAAAGATGGGCTCACTGGTTGAGGTGCTTCTTTGCAAAGGTAACTTCTCCTGACTTACTGACCTGGGGTCCTTAACACTTCCTCGGCGACCCTTGGCAACTCCCGCTGTAGCCTGGCCCACACACGACGGTACACTCCAGCGCTTTCTTATGCTTTCTTCACGAGCTGCTTCACTTTGTGCCTGGTAGTAGTGCGCTGCTTGACGAGGGTCTGGGAAGGGACCGAAGTGGGGTACTTCTTGTTCTTCTACTTGCGGGGCGCTTCGGAGTTGCTGTTCCCAACGCTTTGCGATACCTTTGAAAAACTCTCCTTCCTCTCAACCGCTGCTGCGGATCTTGTTATTTGTTTTCCTTGGCAATTGGGCTGATTAGCGGCACCTTTCCTCACGATGCTCGGTGCGTGGCAAGCGGGGGTACCTGCCTACGACGAAGCGGTGTTACCCGCCTGCGGATGCTGATCAGTCACGGGACTCGACCAGCTCCGCTGCCATGCGAAGCGGTCACACACTATTTTCATCCTCCTTGCCATTTCACCTGTAGAATCAGAACGCCTAGGTGCTCTGTAAAGCTGTTTTTTTTTACACAGGTTTGAGGTGCACATAGTACATATTTGCTTTTTTGCCGGGTTTTACAGTGAACCTAGGGTTTTCATTTTACATAAGTACCACCAAACACCTAGGGGCGTTGATTCTACAGGAAATTCCGTCTTGACAGCAGCTTAATTAAAAGGCTCCGATTTTACACAGGTGCTGATTTTACAAGGATTGTATTGGTATGGTTCTGATTCTACAAGGATTGTATTGCAATGGTTCTGATTCTACAGGGTTCAGTGTATAGATTGTTTTGATTATGTTTTATTTGTTAAAGTATTGCTTTTAGGAGATGGTTGGGTATCTTGAATTATCTCCAAACAGGTTGGTTTCCACTCAACATCTTTTTTTGCAGAAAAACATGTTCAAAACACCAATCCACAACAACACATTGAACACCTTAGACAGTCTTGCATTCTATCTGATATTTGATCTCAGAAATATTCAAACATGCTATCTGACATTTTTCTGACATATTATTTGTCATCTTCAAACCACATCTATGAAATGTGCAGAAAATACAAGCATTTTTTTTGCATTCACCCACCATAAACGTGACATTTCTCATTTTCTCGTTGTTTCCCTCCCGTTGTGTTACCCCTGTTGCGCAAAAGTCTCATGCCTTCATTGCCTTCCCCGTGGGCTCCCGGGAGCTGACCCACCTCTCGAGGTGGACCTTGAGTTGTGTCTCCCCCCGGTGCGGGCTGTGCCTCACCCGCTGAAGGCTTGCCACTGACCTTTCCACTTAGCCCTGGTGAAATGCACCTCCGGACCCACGGCCTCGAAGGACGCGCGTCCTTCGAGGCCATGGCGTCCTTCGAGGCCATGGGTCCGCAAAAAGAAACTTGACAGGCAAAAATCATGAAACATAAAGACAACCCCTGGCAAAATGACGCAAAACCAACGGAAAGAGCAATGAAAGTTAAATAAACAGGAGAAATTGAAAGGAACAAAAAATATATGAAAACTTAAAGTAGCGGAATCCATCGCAGAAAACAAACTTAACACGCTTGGGCATTCTCAGTTTATTGATAGTGTTTGTTCCTGTTTGAGTTTATTTGATTTTATTGGACCCTATTTGCAAATCGTTTACCTTCCTTGTAATTTTTGAAAGAAACACTAAAGGAAGAGAAATAATGACAATTTGCAGGCAAAACCAATGGAAAGAACAGTGAAAGTTAAATAAACAGGAGACATTGAAACGAACAAACAAAAAGATGAAAACTGAAAGTAGTGGAATTCATCGTAGAAAACAAACTCAGCACACCTGGGCACCCTCAGTTTATTGATAGTAGTTGTTCCTATATGAGCTTATTTTTGTCTATTTGCAAATATTTTACTTTCCTTCTATTTTTTGAAAGAAACACTAAAGGAAGAAAAATAATGACAAATTTGCAGGCAACTTCCATGGAAAGAACAATGAAAGGTAAATAAACAGTAGAAATTGAAAGGAACAAAAAATATAACTATAAAACTTAAAGTAGCGGAATCCATCGCAGAAAACAAACTTAACACGCTTGGGCATTCTCAGTTTATTGATAGTATTTATTCCTATTTGAGCCTATGTGGGCCTATTTGCAAATATTTTACATTTCTTGTAATTTCTGAAAGAAAAACTACTGGAAGAAAAAACATGACAATTCGCAGGCAAATTCAATGGAAAGAACGGTGACACGAGAGCCTATTTATGTGAGATTTTCTTAACTTTTTCAAAGATACTTGTTTGGCTTACTATGTGACAGTCAAGCAACCCTGTGCTGCCACTAATGCACATTTCAGACTTCACAATATTGTAGCTAAAATGAGAGGAAAGAACAATGAAAGTTAAATAAACAATTTAAGTAGCGTATTAGTTTTCTTTCTTGGTGCTTGCTCTTCGTCTGAATGTTGTTTTATCGGACTTCAGACGGAACGACGGCAACAAGTCTCGACACGTCTGAGTCGTCAGCCGTCTTCAGCCGTAAAGAGATAGTGCATTATCTGTAAAATCAACAGGTTTTGTGCGTCGACTAAGGCTTAAGTTGGAGGTTGTTACCTCGAGTTTGTTCCTGGTTATGATTCTACAGTCACCCAAAATCGAGGTGACAGGAAACCAAACACCTGGGGGTTCTGATTCTACAGGCAATTCGACTAAGCATCATGGGCTTGCTGTTGCAATTTTACAGGGGGGCCCACCTACAAGGACCTCGGTTACACACACAAATCCCTGTAGAATTAAAACCCCCAGGTGTTTGGGGGTAATGTGAAACAGGATCTATTTTCACTTGAACCACGGGGGCTGTACGTATTGGGCTCACCAACGCAACTGTACAACACAAGTGTTCCAACTTAGCCACTTAGGACTACGCACGCTGAGGGGATTTCTTTCAGAAATATGGCCGGTGGACCTAGTTGGCATAGAAATTCATGGGTGTAAACCAAGCTTTTGTAAAGGGATTATGCAAAAACTAGATTGCGCACAAGGTATAACTAGTTGGTGCAACAAGAAATGTGTGAAAATTAATTTGTGTCAGTGTTAAGGTTGGCTTGCGTAGAACTATTATAGCTTGTGCAAGAGCCAATGGGTGTGAACGCTGATGCCAAATGCTGTATTCTAGGGGCTGGCAGGAACAACCGAAGACAAGACGGAGATAGGGCAAAGCTGAGCAAGGAAGAGGACCAAGCAGAGGATGAGGAGGAAGAGAAAGAGAAGGGAGCGAACGAACAGGGGGAAGCGGATGAGGAGGACGAGGAGGACGAAGAGGACGAAGAGGATGAAGAGGATGAAGAATCGTGAAGATAGAGGATGATGAAGAGGAGGGGGCACGGTGATGGCTGCCGAAGCAAAAACAGGAGGAGATATGGAAGTAAAGATCAAAGTTTTGCTATAGCTACAAGTAAACATCAGTCTGAAACTAGAACAAGATCAAACTATTGCTATGGCTACACGCAAAATGCAACCCAAAGCCAGAACAAAATCAAACTGTAGCAGTAGCTGGAGCTAGAAGCTGATCTAAAATTAAAACAAACTGAAGGTAAGGACCCAGTAGCTGAAACTAAAGAAGACTTACAACACAAAGTAAGCCAGGAGATCTAGGAGAAGATGGAACAATGGAAAGATTGTGCGCAAACTAACTTAGGAAACCTTTAGAACATGCTCAAGATAGGGAACCGATAGCACAAGCTCAAGGTCTATAGCAACCAAAGAAGGCCACGAGACCTCCAGAGAACAAACAAAAGCATTATATAAATGAAACAATCCAGAGCTGGGACTCAATTGAAGGTGCACCAAGCCAGAGGAAGGCAAGGACAGCAAAAATCCAGTCAGGAGGAAATCTAAATCTGAAGCGTAGCCACTACAAGGATTCGTAACAAGGACATCCACAAAACATGCCGGCAGGCTGGCGGGCGGATTTTTAATGTTGTTAGATCATTTGTAGTTTAGCCTGAGTCCCCACCAGGTGCTGTTTGCAAATTGGGCACCGCCAGCGCGAGTGCTGATCGACAATGTCAGCGAGTGGTACTCTCTGGTCTTCGTTATTTATCGCTGTTTTGTAGGTTTTGCCGTGTTAAATGTAGCGACTCGGACGAATAACCCACTCAGGCATTGTTTTCACTTGTATACATGACTCATTGGCCCTTTCGGGCTTGTAGTGTATGGTCGTGGATTTGGGAAAGGATCGCTGAAAGCAAGCACTTTTATCAAAGACAATTTTGTGGAGAAATTCAGGGTTGTGGAGAGTATTGAGATAGCTCCCAGAGAGGGGCACCGGCTTTGCGCGAGGATTTCTTGTGCTTATTGCAGTGTGTTGTCACCCTTGTCCACATGCACATGAAAGTTCCTGCAGAACCAAAGGTCAACGCAGTTTTCGTGCAGTCCACAATGAAGGCCATGGTCAAATGTTTTTTGGTGTTTGTTTATCCTTTTCACAAGGTGATTCAGCAGAGCTCCGCCGCTATCTGGGGGAAAAAGCCATCCATGAACGGACGTTTTGCGGGATGCAGGTTGCGCAAGCAGACGAAGAGTTCATAGTGAAGGAGAAGAAAAAGGCTGAAGAGGCTTATCGCCAAAAGGTGACGACCTTGTTCCGACAGGTGGACACGTCAGGAGATGGCAAGATTGACGTCCACGAGTTCAAACGGCTCCTGAAGGCACTGCACGCATGCTGGGACAGTACCAAGAATAGGATGCAATGGTATGCAGCGGCCTTCGTTTGACAAATTTGGCTCGGAATGTGCAACTAGATGCAGCTAGTAGATATTGGGTTTGCAGCGCAGGCACCAAAATTGCAAGCCTGGCTAAGCCAGCTTGAGATTGAGACCACGGATCTTTGGGGTCTTTTTAAGATGCTTGATCAGGGTGCCCTGCTCAGAGCACATCTGTGGGAAGACGGAAAAGGTGTTGTTAAATTGTTAAATCAAACTTGTCTACATTTGTTTTTTTTCAGAAATCATGCGAACAGCACTTGATTCCTGTTCTGCTTAGCAGCTTAGCAGTGTATCTTGCTCGCCTTGCAAACTTTAGCTTTGCCGAACTCCTTGAGGCGATGGAGAGATATAGGAAGGGTTGGGCAAGGTTTGCTGCCGCACCTGAGGCGAGGGCGAGATCTCCCTGAAGGATTTTGAAGATGGAACCATGCGCATCAAAGGCGTGGAAACAATACAATTATTAGCGACGTCACATTCAATAAGTTCTAGTATCCTCCCAGCTCAAGATATATAATGACATGCACACACACACACAGATCTAAAGATCCTTCTCTGCGTTATACGGATGGTACGTAGGGATGGCAATCTTGTTTTCAAAATATTCCCTTGCTATTTTTCCCCAGACAGTGTGGCCACACTGAAGGGGTTCTTACGGTAAGGTGGTATCCTTGGCGTCCGGCATTTTCCCAGTAAATTTCTGCATGAAATGGCTTTTGTGACATGTCCATGTGCATTTCGATTGTGCAGGCTCGCACAAAACGCGCGGCTATATCACTTCTGGGGCGCGGCATTTTTCCTGTAAGTCTCGCGTCAAATGGCTCTTGTGACATGTCCTCTTATAGGGAGCTTGTACAGAAATCTTAGTTTGAGATCCTTCGCAGAGATCTTGCCAAGAGATTCTTATAGAGATCTTGTACAGAGACATTGCCAGGACACCTCTTTTGGAGATCTTGTACAGAGACATTGTATAGAGATTTGCTGCGGAGATCTTGCCAAGAGGTCTCTTACACAAATCTTGCCAAGAGAACCCTTCTAGAGAGCTTGTACTGCGGCTTTATAAAGAGACCTTGTACAGACACATTGCATAGAGATCCGTTGAGATCTTGCCAAAAGGCTCGTGACAGAGATCTTGCCAACAGACCTCTTATAGAGATAGTGTACAAAGATTTTGCCAGGACCAGAGGCATTGCATAGAGATCTGTTGGGATCTTGCCAAGAGGCCCTTTACAGAGATCTTGCCAAGAGATTCTTATAGAGATCTTGTACAGAGACATTGCCAGGACACCTCTTTTGGAGATCTTGTACCGAGACATTGTATAGAGATTTGCTGCGGAGATCTTGCCAAGAGGTCTCTTACACAAATCTTGCCAAGAGAACCCTTCTAGAGAGCTTGTACAGCGGCTTTATAAAGAGACCTTGTACAGACACATTGCATAGAGATCCGTTGAGATCTTGCCAAAAGGCTCGCTACAGAGATCTTGCCAACAGACCTCTTATAGAGATAGTGTACAAAGATTTTGCCAGGACCAGAGGCATTGCATAGAGATCTGTTGAGATCTTGCCAAGAGGCCCTTTACAGAGATCTTGCCAAGAGATTCTTATAGAGATCTTGTACAGAGACATTGCCAGGACACCTCTTTTGGAGATCTTGTACAGAGACATTGTATAGAGATTTGCTGCGGAGATCTTGCCAAGAGGTCTCTTACACAAATCTTGCCAAGAGAACCCTTCTAGAGAGCTTGTACTGCGGCTTTATAAAGAGACCTTGTACAGACACATTGCATAGAGATCCGTTGAGATCTTGCCAAAAGGCTCGTTACAGAGATCTTGCCAACAGACCTCTTATAGAGAATTATAGAGATCTTGTACAAAGATTTTGCCAGGACCAGAGGCATTGCATAGAGATCTGTTGCAGAGATCTTGCCAAGAGGTCTCTTACATAGATCTTGCCAAGAGAGCTCTTATAGAGAGGTTGTACAGAGATCCCATACAGAGATCTTGCCAAGAGATCTCTTCTAGAGATCTTACCTAGGAGGTCTTGCCAAGAGGTCTCGTGCAGAGATTTTGCCAACAGAGCTCTTTTAGAGACCTTGTGCAGGGATCTCGCCAGGTGACCTCTTGTGGAGATCTTGTGCAGAGACCTGGTGGAGAGAGCAGAGGTCTTGCTCGGAGATCATTTATAGATAGCCTGGACAGAGATCTTACTTTGAGATCCCTTACAAAGATCTTCTGTGGAGATCTCCTATAGACACCTTGTACAGGTAGCCTTACACAGGGATCTGGCAGAGCAGCTTCTACACAGAACCTGTCAAGGGGATCTTGCGCACGATCTTCTACAGAGATCTTCGCAAAGGGAACTTGCAAAATCTTACCTGGTATCTCTTTTTTTCAGTACTAGGGTGGCTCTTGTCCTGCTAGCTTGCAGCCACTGATGCTTTTAGGTCCTTTCCGCCTTTTCCTTTGGAATCCTAACTGCGCAGTGTTTGGGGCCTCTGCCGGGATAATTCTTTACTTCGTTGAATCTATTTATTTAATCTGAGGTTCCTCAGGGGACTATAGGAGACTTTTTCTTGGCTGAAGAAACCGCGGCCGTTTTTCTTTGTGGTTTGTGTTATCTCATGTTTGTGGTGCAGAATTGCTTGTGGGTTGGTGTTGTGGGAAATTTTGGAATGGAGAGGGAAAAATGTTTGCTTCCAGAGAACTTACATCTGGAAATGCAGGGTTGGAACGGGCCTAGTTTTATCAAGGCCAACTGAGCTACAGAAGGGTTGTAGTAGTTTGAATTAGAAATGTGAAAAAAATGTGTTTCAAAAATGCAATTTTAAAAAATGTGAAAAACATGCATTTCAAAAATGTGAAAAAATCTGAAAAAATGCATTTTTAAAAACAATTTTGAGGTTTTGTTCTCTTATGTTTTGCTCCTGGTAGTCATTGTTTTGCTATAGCTAAATTTAACAGATCTGCGATCTGCACAGTCCACTTCCGATCGATTTGAACTGCTCCTCTCCGATTTTCAACCTGCAGAAGTTGGGCAGGCAGCAAAGTAACTGCAGCAAAACTGGAACCCAAAAAAATCAAACCTGAAGAAAAAGAAATCAGAGTTCCACCTTCCCAACTGGATTTTCAAACGTTTTTTTCACATTTTTTCGCATGTTTTCCCTTTTTTCGCATTTTTTCACATTTTTTCGCATTTTTTTCACATGTTGTTTTTGTATTTTTTTCAAGTGCATTTTCAAAACACATGTTTTTCACATTTTTTTCGAGGCGCATTTTCAAAACGCATTTTTTCACATTTTTTTCCACATTTTAAATTAATCATTGTTTTCAGGCTTGTAGCTGGAAACGGCCATGATAAGCCTAGTTGATTTTGAGGCCAATTCTTCGGGAAAATTCAGTTGTTTTGAAAAACAAACATCATACCCCACACAAAAGAGGAACAACACCATTGAACCACTCACTAAATCAGTTCTTCCTGTCGCTGTGGAGTTGATGCCCAATTTCAACATCATGGCGTGCCCAAAGGGTCAAACAGAGATGAACGTCGCCATTTCCATTCAGGTTGTAACTTCCCCACAGCAAAACAAATAAACATCAAAAAAATGTTGTTTCAGTATGAAAACATTTATATAGATCAAAACGTTTAGAGAATAAACAACATGATTCATTTGCAGACATACTTTCGGATATCAATTCACCCAAACACACAAACATTCACAATATACACAAGAATTATGGAGGGTTCGGCACTCCATTCGTTCTGCGCAAGACGTTTTTTTCGTCTACCGCAGGTTGGGCTCGGAGCTATGACGTCGCGCAGCTCAAGGCTTCAATCCAGCGACTTCACAACAAGATCGACTCTGTCCTCACTGATGCGAATCAAAGTGCAGAGCTGCTAAGGAGCTCAGTGTGGAACTACATGCTGGAAGCATTGAGCCTAATGTCAGCCCTGGATTAATAAACCCCTATAGGCTGTTTAATTGGGGGGGAATTTTAAAGTATCAAATCATGACTATTGGAGGAGCACCCCCCTAATTAAGAAACCATGGTTTATTAATCCGGGGTTGACATTATTTGAATCCCATTCTATCCATTTTTTGAATCCAGCGGAATAATTTTGAAATGTCTTGATTTCGTTGCTGTTTGAGATGTAATTATTGATGTTCATTGGAGGATATAGGAGTTTGCAGATGTGAACCTGAAAGCAGCATGATATGCCCTGCAGGAAGGGGCGGTCCTGCCCGTCCGTGAGTGTGTGAGTTTCACCATGAGTGCCAACGGCGCTCAACTTCTGGCATGCATTTGATCGGAGAAAGACTGGCATGCCTTTTGCATCCTTTGCGGAGAAGAGTGGAAAGAGAACAAAGTTTCAGAGAGATGCCAGCCAGATGCAGCCGCTCTCGGTGGAGATGTGCGCTTGGTTTGAATTTGGGTCCCGTCGAACTGGATCACCAGATCTAGATCATTTCAATATATATTTTATATAATCATTTCACTTGAATTGCTTGAATCATTATGTTTGTTTTGAGGCCACACCAAGGGACATATCACAGCTTGTTTGGGGTGCTTGCTGGTCATTACGTGGTCGCCGGTTTTTGGGCTCATTCCGATTCATTCCCCCAGTGAAGGCCATGGCTCTGCCACCGCCGCCTGTGCCTCCCACTCCTGGTGCCACAGCTCCCCGACCGCCCTATGTGGCACCACCGGCACCATCACCCGGTGGACCACCCGGTGGACCACCCGGAGCGCCCAGGCCTCCGATGTTGTCCCGTGCGATGTCGGTGTTGAACCCTGAGGCCCAGGAGGAGATGATCTCGGCCTTGGAACGCGAGGGTGCCACGTTGCAGGAGAAGATTCGGGAGATCACCGCAGCCAGAAGTCATGGTGGACATGCCGATGTCGAAGACCGACTGCGGGAGGAACAGCTGAATGCCAAGGCGGCCATGATTCAAAAGCTTCAAGAAGAGCTGGGTGAAGAAGTGAACCGAATGGAACAAGGATCGAATCTCAAGGAGGAGATTCACCAGTACGAAGCTCAACGTGCAGCTTTGAACCGTGAAATCCAAAATGCCAAAGATGCCATTGACCACTCCGACGTTGGCAAACTGCGTGATGAAGTGCACCGTGCAGAGGAGCGATGTCGACAGCTGACCACTCAGCTGCAAAGACTGGAGGAGAGGAAGAGATGAAAACCAATCAAGACATTCCCACAATTTGGCGGTATTCATTTTACATAATAACTTTTTTTTTTGGGGTTCTACGAGACAGAAATAGTAGAATTCAGACAGGTTTTATGTAATTTGATACCAACACACATGTCACTTGCCCCGAGAATCCTGAATGGATTCGCAATCGTTGGGGCCCGCTGCATTCTGCAAGGCCAACTCCTTTCTCTCCAAAGTTGATGACCGAAAGGAGGCCAACATGAGGATTTCAGCCTTAGAGGAGATGCTCCGGAGCAAGACAGCTGAACACCAGGGACAGGTGGATGAAAACATGAAGGCACAACACAATCGTTTGATGATGGTTCAAGAGAAACAGCGTCTCCAATCGAGAACTCTTGACTTGAAACAGCGCGACTTGGCTGCAAATGACAGATCTTAAAATTTCAAAGGTATGATTACGGTATGATCCAGTGGTGATCCCGGTTTGACGTTTTGTTTGTCCCCAAGATGGTCCAAGAAGACATAAGAAGACCAAGTTGGAAACAGCCCCAGGTAATGAGCGTTTGGAGATTGAGATCTCCACTCAACAAGCCGAAATGCAAAAAGTGGAGCGTGAGATGCGCTTGATGCGTGAGCGGCTTCCTCCTGACAACCAAGAAGCATTGGAAATGGCACTGGCCGAGGTTGTTGGAAGTCAAGGCGCTGCATTTTCTCGTCTCCTGCCATTAGCTTCAGAGCACCATTTGCATAAATTTGCCATTTATAAATCATTTATATGCATATATATATATGTGTTTTATGACAGTGTTTATGACAATATTTTCCTTCCCATTGATGATGAATATCAGAAGTATATCACTTCCAGGGGTGGTCGATGCCTCGCATGTTTGAGGTTTGGAGAGACCTGAGGCTGCAGTTCCATCAGCTGAGGACTTGCAAGGCTTGGACATTTAGAATGCCCAGCTTGTGGGGAGATTCAGAGATGTTTAGATACATTCATCATTGGAATTCTTTCACGCCTGGGTTGCACAGTCACACAGCTGCTAGTTTCAGCATGTTTGGAAGAAGGTGCTCTGAGAAAGAATCTCACTAGAGGATGGAAGCTTCCAGTGGAAGGAAACATGAGGGAACCCAGGAAGACCTCGTACATCATCAGATAATATCAGATACAGATACCGATAGAATTTCCATAGATTTTTTGGCACTGGGCAGGCACCGGCTCGATGGAGCGGGTTCTTGAGCGCTTGGGCCAAGAACGCGACGATCTCCGGCGTCAGATCGCAGTGCTACGGATGGACCTGGAGAGGGAAACGGCGGTCTCCAAGAACTTCAAAGCTCTTCAGGCGAGAACGGAGGAGCATCGAGTGCAGCAAGGTGTAGATTGCATTTTGGGGGAACGCGATGTTTGGCCGTTTAGCCGTTTGGCCGAACTTTTCGGACACCTTACGAACCCCCACATCACACTGACTAGTTACTGTATCATGGAATCATGCAGAATCTAATCTAATATGATTTGTTGATATTTGTTGTATTTCTTCTTATTGTTGTTGTATGTTGTTGTCAAATCCTATTCTGAACTTTCTCAATCTGTCGATCATTGCCTCAATGATGCCAGGCCCAGGAGCTGGAAGATGCACGGTCCAAGTCCCAGAGCTTCTTGCGAGATCGGGAGAAATGGTGCAGGCCAGGGCGACCAGGGACATGGGGAGAGGATGCTAAGGTTATGCTAAGGATTATAATTATAAGGATTTGGCCTTGAGATGCCTTGGGTTTTATGATCTTTGATGATGTTTGCCGGGTATGGGCGGATGTCTGCTTCCAGCATTTGGTTTAAGGTGTTCTAAGCAATCGAAAACCCAACATGAAGCTTGAGCTTAGTTCACCCCGCAGGATCTCAGCAGCTCATCTTCAATCCATCCAAGATTTGCAAAGGCGAATCGCGGGCTTTGAAACCATGTCCTTACACGACAAGGCACCAGATACCTTGAGCTTGGCAGGCTTTTCAGATGTCTCTGATTTGGAGGATGCCGCCAATGCCTTGGATGTCTTTGTGGGCGTGGGTGAAATCGATCTTTCAGCTGCGCAACGGCTACAAGAGGAGCTGAATCGTTGGGTGTCAGAAGTTCCAGTGGCACCACCTATGCCATCGGTGGTGGAGGAACTCAGAAGTCTGGTGAGTATCGAACTGATTGGCTTCGACTTGGGCTTCTCTGCTGTTGCCTCTGGACTTCAACCTGTGTATGACTCGCTGGTCACCTTCGGGCCATTCAATGTGAATGATGCCACGTTGGATGAATTTGCACAGGGACATCTCAAGGTGGAGATTCATGGGACACTGCCAGGCAGTGAGAAGCAACACATTCTTGGACAAGGGGTGCTACCGATGGCAGGTCTCTTGCAGTATGGCACGCAGGACGTGTTCGCTTTCAAATCTTGTGTCAAAATATATCAAAATATATCAAAATCATAATTTCATGAGATTTGAATATATTTGATATTATTTGATGTATGACTGCCATTGACTACCACTACGACCGATGACCCAAAAACAAACTAATGACCTGGGCCTCGGAATGTCTGATGTTCATATAAAACATGTTTTTCATGTTCTCGCTGCCAAACTCCAGGACACTCGCAATCCAGTAGCAGGTGGAGTGGTTGCCGTCAAAGATCCGAATGATCAAGACATCCTAGTGGCAAAACTCCGCATCAAGCTGCGCTTGCGCTATTCCATTGAGGAACTAGCTGAAGATTACATCACTAGGGCTAGAGTGCGCCAGCAGGATCGAAGGGGGAAAAAGATGTACCGTGCTCTTAGGTTCTGCCACAGCTGTTTGCTTCCTGCCGATGTGGCGTGTGGAATGCGCATGAATCGTAATCCTTACATGGGAGGTAGCGAAGCAGCGCATAGGAAATGTCAGCTTCCGAACACATGTCCGGCAGCGGCTCCATATTAGGCTGCTTGGATCAAAGGGCCAAATCCTTGATACAGTAGCTGAAGAAGCATCAACTCCACTCTTCTTGTGCAGACACGTTTGTCTGTCAGTTTGATTTCTGATTGTCAATGCTCAGCATTTGCACATCTCTCCCCAGCGACCAGAGCCATGACCCGTGGGTTTGCACCGCTGGGGCCTTGCAACTGGTCAAGCCCTCAGTCTGGCAGACATGTCCAGGCCGATCTTGGAGGCACATGTGGTTACACGATGTTACACGCGCACAGTGAGGCAGTACATGTACATTCATATCATCCGTGTATAGCTGTGGATCTAGGACAGACATTGATGGGGCGTGCCTATGAATTTTGATTGGCGGGTACTTCAGGTTTCTGCTCCCAGACGTGATGGAAGGAGTTGCCGAAGGTGGTGGTTGCAGCCTCCTTGCAGGTTGCCTCAGAAGACGCCTCCCTTCTTCTGGAGGCGTCAGGTGGACACTAGGGAGTCACTTGATCTCAAACTCAAACGTATCAAATTTTGGTTGTTTGGGCATGGATGCAACGGAATGTAGAGGAAAATTGATGAATTTGGCATGTGCTCATAGTACTATCTTTTCTGGTCGCTGGCAATCCAGGTGAATCATATCGACATGGAGAGATATGATGCCTGGCAGAGGGTCCTTCAACTGGTATCTTCTGAGCAGCAGGTCGTTGCCGCACGGTCCAACATCGATGCTGTAGCTGTGAACGAGGCCATAGGACGTTGCAAACGTGGAGGGCACTGGCAGATGGCCTTGGCCTTACTTCGAAACATGAAGGACTGGCAAAGAGGGCATGTGCACTGTGAGAAGTGTGCCTCAAAAATGGTACCAGGATGGCCTTCAGGACTCTTGGAGATAGTTATGGTAATGAAATGTAATGAAATGCTTGTGACCGGGGTTTCATCTGTGGCCACGAGAAGTATAGTTTTTTCCATGTTATTCCCTAGTCAAATGCCGTGGGCGATCTGCTTCATACGTCCATTGAAGCGCCAGGACTGGAGCCTTGAGCAAGATGTGGTGAGTTACAGTGCTGCCATCGGTGCAAGCGAAAGTGCGTCTCAGTGGTCTGCAGCTCTCAGCCTTTTCGATCAGATGGAGTCGATCGCACCAAACGTGGTGACCTACAGTGCTGTCATGGGTGCCTGTGGAAAGGCCCAACTGCTTTGATATGCACACTGCGGGCATCGCATGGACACACCATCATATAGCATATATCAAATTTTACATATAATTGACTAGTTGATGTTGATACTAGAATCATTTGAACTAATGGAAGTTTCTTGATATCAGAAGTTGCATTGGTTCCGTTCCGCTTTCACAGGCAAGCTGGTGGAGTTTGGCTTTATATCACCTTTCTAAGATGGAAGCATTGCATGTGCTGCCCAACCTCTTCACGTTCAACTCTGCCATCACTGCCTGTGCCAATGGGTTTCAATGGGCCCAGTCACTAGCGCTGATGGCGGAGCTTCGAAGAACTTTGCAGCCTGACACGATCACGTTCAACGCCCTCATGGTGGCCCTTCAGAAGGTGTGGCGACACTGACCCACCGCTGATGCGGTGATCTTGGGAAACGTAGCTATGTGGGGCGACCACTCACTTGCACACCTGACTTCCCCCTCAATTGTACACCTGACCTTCCCCTCGCTTGTGCATCTGAGTTTCTTGCCATGGTATACATACATACAATACATACAACACATACAATACATACAATACATACATTACATACATTACATACATTACATACCGTACATACATTACATACAGTACATACATTACATACAGTACATCCAGTATATACATACATTACATACATTACATACATTACATACATTACATACATTACAGACATTACATCCAGATCATCCAGTACATCCAGTACATACATTACATACGTTACAGACATTACAGACATTGCATACATTACATACATTACATACATTACATACATTACAGACATTACCCACATTACACACATTACACACATTAAACACATTACACACACATTACAGACATTACACACATTACACACATTACAGACATTACATACATTACATGCATTACATGCATTGCATATATTACATGCATTACATGCATTACATGCATTGCATATATTACATACATTACATGCATTACACACATTACATACGTTACATACATTACATACACTACATACATTACATACATTACATACATTACATTACATTACATTACATTACATTACATTACATTAATACATACATACATACATACATACGTACGTACGTACGTACGTACGTACGTCAGACATAAAGACATACAGACATACAGGCATACAGACACACATACATACAGACATACACAGATACATACACATACATACACATACATATACATACACATACATATATATACATACACATACATTTGCATTTACTTTTACTTTTACATTGACATACACATCTACATGTAGATTTACATATAGCTATACATTACAATACAATACACTACAGAAAAGTTCAGTACAATACAATACAATCAATACATACATTCCATTCAATTGCATTCCATTCCATTCAATTCCATTACAGTTCATCACAGTACATTACATTATATTATATTGCATGCATGCATACATTGTGCAGGTGAGTTTTCCACCAGATGGCTACGATCTGACCGTGTTGCAGCAAGTGTGTCGAACATGCACCAGAAGATCTAACACTGTATGTAGCATGACGGCTTGTTGCGATTGTTCTTTAACATGGATAGGCATTGATGGCTGCTTGGACTTCTGAACTTCCATCCATGAACCTCTTGGAGTGTTGTTGAAGAGAAGATCTTACAGAGTAGCATCAAGTGTGTCTACACATGATTTAAATAATGACTTAGCATGCTGATCATTGTTTGTAGGGCAGAGGGGGGAAGATTTAAATAATGATTTAGCATGCTGATCATAGCTTTGTTGGGGAGAGGGCGAAGTATGTCTAAATAAAGACTTAGCATGCTGATCATTGCTTTGTTGGTGAGAGGGCAAAGTATGTGTGCGCAGGTGACGGGAAAATAGGCTTGCGGGTGCGCAAGTGAGGGGAAAGTAGGCGGTCAGGTGCGCAAGTGAGGGGAAAGTGTGGTGCGCAAGTGAGGGGTTGGCCGCTATGTGGGCAATTGTGAGCATACTATCTCGTGATTCATTCGTGATAATAATGTTGATAATTCGGCAATTCATCGTAATTCATCATACTCTCATCAACTCTCATCATACCTCATCTATCTCCAGCCTTTGTTAGCTCCAGTCATGCCTAAAGAAAGCAATGTTCCCAGCCATCAGGCAGGTTTGTGGGAGGAGGCCATCAAACTCTTGGAGGAGCTGATTGAAGAAACCCTGCTGCCCAGCATCATCAGTTTCAATTCTGCAATCAATGCAATTTCAAAGTGTGGATGTCGAAACTGGTCATTATCTTTGGTTTTCCTCGATACGATGCAGCAGATGGGATTGCAGCCTTCCATTGCTACCTTTGGTGCTTTGATCGGCCAAGAGGGATCGAAATGGCGCAGCGTCTCTCAACTGCTCCGTGTGATGACTACCAACCATTTGAGGCAGGGGAGCACAACACATCACAGACATTTATTTATTTTGTTTGCTGGAGGGTTGGCATGTATGTATGAAAATGATTGAAAATGCAGAGAAGACTGTTATAGACTGTTGGGGTCGGACGGTCGGACTGGGCCAGGCTGAACCAGATCAGTGCAAGCACCGCTACCACGTCTTATTCTGACACCAACTGGACTTCATCCATGCACTTGTTGGGGCTGAGTAGGCGTGCCGGGACCGAAAGTGGCATTTTCCTATGGAACGGAGCCATTGCCGCATGTGGTGATCGCTGGACAGCAGCCATTGATTTGCTGCAAGGGCTGAGAGGTAGGCGCATTGCGGATGTCGTCAGCTTCAACGCCGCTATGGAGAGGTGCAACGAAGAATGGAAGATGACGTGCCAGCTCTATGCCGACATGTACTCCGGAGGATTGAAAAGTACAGAAATCAGTGCCTTTCTCAATTCTGGCAGGGTTGAGAGGTGTTGGGAGGCAGTTGGACATTGGGGTTATGTATGGTTATGTTTTCTGCCTTCAGATTAGCAAGTATACAATGAGCATGACATAGCATGACTCTTTTACCTTTTAGAAACCCATTGAGTGTTGACCCTCCGAAGGTCAGAATTCTCTCCTCCGGTCCTACGGCAAGGGCACGCAGTGGGAAAAGGCATTCAGAACTTCCGTGCTACGAGTCACGAGCATCTCCTCCAATGCGGCTGTCAGCGCGTGTGAGAAGCCCCTTTCTTAGATCAGATCCAAATGATTGCGACAGCTTCTACGCTCATTGTCGGCCCAATGTGATTCAGTTTCACAATGTCTTTCGCATTCTTTGCTGTCTTATCGGTCTCTGTGTCGCTTGGTGCATCCATCGAAAACTTGGCGATTGTGGCAGCTCTCAGGTGCAGCTTTTGGGACATTGGCCTCTTGAGCCTGGCAGGCTCAGCATCAATGCAGGCCTGGTCTGAAGACAGACATGTGATCACATGTGAATTCATAATATCATGATTCATATGAGTATATCGTAGCAAATCAATGTACAAAAAAGGTGTCGATGACTCTATGATTCAGGGGTGACTCTGCGTGACAAGCTGAGGTTGAACCTGATATCATCGGCTTTGCCGCACTCGCCAGTGCTTGCGAGAAGGCTCGCATTGGGCCAAAGATTGCCCCAGCTGCTGTTGACACACACGCACACAATGCATTTGCCTTGACATGGATGATGTGCGAGTCGTCATCATTAAAATCTATATAATCATATCTAATCCATCCCGATATATGGTGCTTCATAAAGCCTACCCATGACTTCAACTGGAGGCGAACAGGTGGCTACAAGCATGCACCCTTCTCCAAGACACGAAGGCATCAGGTCTCTTGGCCAACGTCATCTTTTGCAATGCCGCCACCAGTGCCTGTGAACCTGGCCAAGCGTTTGGCAACCTTTTCTGGCGAAAACGTTACGGTATAGTGGGTGCCAGATGAAATTCTGTCCTTATGGTTTGCAGATGTTTGCAGTGTGACTTTGACTCCGCTTTTGTTCTCTCTACACCAGGTCGAGTAATGCGACCGTGATTCTAACGCTTTCGGGTTAATTACCTCCCCGCACGCCGATGGAACCTTTACTCACCGTCGCCTAGGCTCCTACGTGCATCTAGGTCTAGGTGCATTTGAAACTGCATTTGTGAAGATCTGTGAGCCCACGAATCCAGACTGAGGTAGCCAATGCATGGCCTCGTGCTCTCTCCACCTTTCGGGCCATGAAGAACCGCTTCCTTCAGGTGGACCTGGTGAGTTGAAACCTCAGAATTTTCAATTTGTGAACTTGGGTATTGTATGGTACTGTAATCTTCTGCAATCTACCCCTACTGCATCAGAATCATACCTTGAAAGTGCTGTAAGAACCAACCAATTTTGATTTTGATTGCTTCATATTGTTTCAAGTTTGGGGTGATTGAAATCCCATCAAAGGTCACAGCGGAGCCATCAGTGCGGCCGAGAAAGCTGGTTGGTGGGAGTTGCCCTACAGAATTCTGGCAGAGCCTCGGCCCAGCCTCGAAGAGACAATGGGCAGACTTTGGAATGACACAGGTCTTCGGTTTTCCGCATGGAAACCAGAAAAAAGACACTGCATTCTTTTACATGTTTCAAACCGAAGATGGTTCTCCACCTCCCAGGAAATGGAGATGACTCAGGTGTTTGGGCCTCAGCCATGCCCATTGACATGGAGTGTGGGCTTCACATAGAGTTCCCAGCACCTGAGGCAGGCAGATGAAATTAGCTTCGGAGCTGCTTGGTTGCAAAGAGTGCTGTGGGAATAAAATCAAGGAAACTGGAAACAATTTTCCAGACACATCTGACGTTTCATGATTGAAGAAGCTGTTTGTCCTCTTTACAGAGTTGAGGCTGCAGTCAGTGCCTGCGAAACTGCCCAGAGACAGCAGAGCACAGCACGATTCGAAAGGCGGTTACATTTGTCAAGCGGGGGTGGACAGTACTGACAGATTTGAGCAGAATTTGAGGATGTCTCAATCACGCTTGAACCTCTTTGATCCCACCCAATGAGTGAAGATGCCTTTTCGCGTCTTTAGTTTCGCAAGTCTAGATAAACAGTGTCAAGCATTGTGAATCCGTGTGTCCTCACGATACTGAAGATATGACCCTGACAGTGTTTCGCTAAAACAAGCTGGAAACAAACGGAGATGAATTGCGACATTTGCGTAGCGCACAAGGCTAAAGAAGAACGGTAAGACTATGAAAACCGCATAAAACCGCACCTGTGGCACACCAGGGATGTCCTAGCTACCAGCGTCGGAGTCATCGGCTTAATGCCAAAAACTTCTGATTTTAATGTTGGTGAATGGTAGTATTATGCTAGTCTTGTTGGCTGGTTTAATCTGGTTTACTTTTTTTTGTTGCAGCTCTGCAGGTAGCTTTGGATCTAGCCATATCTAGCTGCTCTAGCTGTGCCTTTGCATCCTCAGATCAAGGCATAGTGAACCGGAGTGACTGAGAGCTTGTCAACGACAGATTTCTGGATTTCTGCGTCAGTGAAGGAATTGGCATGGCATTCCTGGCATTCACAACATTGGCCTCTTATTTTCCTCTTCAGGTCGTGGTGTCGTGTTCGGTCTCATGAAACCTGCAGTACCGGTCTGCAGCCACAGTTGCAAGGTGGAAGTCGCTTCCTACGCTTCCTACGTTTGCCTCACGAAGGTTTAGCTCCTGGATCTCTGATGATCCCCGCGCACAACAAATCTGTGCCATGCCAACGGAGTGATAGCGAATCTGATAGCGAGTGATGCGCAAGATGACTACGCATGTGCACACTGTGGAAAAGCGCAGAGGCCTGCGATGTCGACAATCTTTCAGGGAGCTCTAGTGACTTCTCAATTGGTTGCGCCGTGTTGTCTTCCTTGGAAGATACATCTCTTGACGATCACAGCGGGACAAACCGATATGATTGAATTCAATTCATGTATTCTGCTTCGGTTATTTTCATATGATTGAATTCTGAGATGTCGAAGAGCGTCAGACCCATCGACCTGCAGAGGTGCCCGCTAGTGGCTCATGGGTCACTCGGCCCTGTTTGCGTGGCAGGGAGGCTTTGCAGTACATTGCTCTTTATGCTCTTTGGCTGCAGTGTGATATGTGAAGTTTGGTGATGACATGTAATGACCGCTGCAAGGATGTTCTCGGAACTGTTGTGGAGTACTTGTAGGATTTTGGCATGTCTTGGCCTTGGCAGTTCACATGACAGGTGGGTTCAAGGCTCGGCTAACAGCTAACACTCTGAGGTGGGCGCCTTGTCACGAAGATCCACGAAGCAAGCGTAGCCCGTTTGAAATGGCTGAAATGGCAGCTAGATCCACTCCTTTGGAGCTTGTGGAAGGCCAAGGTGCCTGCAATAGTTCCACCATGTTTCACCAAAAGGTACAGTTCGGAGAAAAGCGCATGAGATGATCATGACATGCAAGGAGGGTCAAGGAGGGCAAGGGCAATTGCATGGTGCTCAAGCACACCAAGCACACTGATGTGAGCATGTCATTTTTGGAAATTTGACACAGACGTCCCGCAGTCAGCTTATCTTAGCCACAAACACAAGCCGAACACTGGCACCCGGGATCCCTCAGACAACTTGGATTTTAAATATCATGGATATCACGGTCGCAAGTTAAAGGTACACATGCCAAGGGTCCTCACAGAGAGCTGCATATCATTTGAGTCGCGCGACGATTGGTGCCACCTTTGCCATGCTTGTCGTGGCCAATGGATCCAATGGCATGCCAAGATCTCGAAAATGCGTCATGACTAAGAACAGCAGTTCTTAGTGCCGCCAAAAATGATGTCAGACTTTGCAGTCTTGCATTGTGAGATGTTGCGAGCCACATGAGCCTGTCGGCCACAAAATGAGAGTCATCAAGTCATCAAACATTGTCTTCAAAAAACGGAATGTTACCATGTCATGCCATGTATCTACAGCTGCAGCCCTATCATAAATATTACACATTATTACACCTTCGAGGTGCCAAGTATGGATCCATAGTTCAGTTGCATGGCCTGGCTGCATGGCTGTTTCAGCAGCCTCCCAGGCATGGTCTTTCGGATCTTTCTGTTTATTGCTTGGGCCTCCTCCCCGGCGCTAGTCTTGCCAAGGCTGGGGACCATGGGGACCATGGGGACCCAGCGCCACAGTTGTGACATGTTGTGACCTGTGCTTAAATGGCTTAAAAGGTCTGAACGATCCGGAAACATCTTGAAATCTCAGTTGGATTTGCGTTTTGGAGCAACCCAGAAGCAACCCAGAGATTGCAGCTAGACACCTGCAGGGGAAATGCCACACCAAGAAGATGCTCTAGGACGGAGCATCCACTGTTCTGAGAGAAGGATACTGAAAATTCACTGGAGGCTTGGAGTCAGATGACTGGATTTGTCCATCTTTGTGATCTTTGTGTCTGTCAGACTTGTGGGATGTGAAGGAGTGATCAAACTACGAGCCAATGGTGGTGGAAGGGGGGTCCGGGAGAAGACAGTGAAGAGGAAATCACTGCAGCTTGGCCATTTGATTAGTTTGGGCATGTTTGGCACAGAAACCAGGCAACAGAAATGGACCGGAAAGGGATGTCCAGGCCATGTGTCACAGCATGTCTGGACTTTGGACTCCTCGAACTATGATGAACTATGTACGTGTAAAAGACCATGAGTTCCTTTCTCTTGCGAAGTATTTTTTCTTTTGTCCCTATGATTTGTTAGGGGTGACGACGTTCATATCGATCCATACATGAATACATGAGTCATTCATCAAGGGGTTCGGTTGTGAATAAATTACTGCAATGCGAACGGAGGTCTTCGTGCCAATTACAGATGACGTCCAGGCCAAGGACGTGACAGTTGACATCAGGCCTGGGATGGCATGTTTTTTTTCTTTTTTAAGCGGTGCTGGAGGTGTCCCTTTACACAGCATTACACGGCTGATGCCGATGCTGCAGGCGCTCTCACCTGTCGGTGCGCGTGAAAGATCAGCTGCCTCTGGAGGGCCAGCTGTGGAAAGACATTCGGGCAGACGAGTCGGGCTGGCTGATTGACAAGGAGGCGAACCAACGATGCATTATCGTTACGCTCATCAAGCGTGATGCAGGGCGCCTATGATTTTACTTCGCACATAGTTCTCATATGGAATTTGGATCCAATTGAAACGAGTAAAATGTGCCACCGACTTAGGTCTGGATCGCGACTTGCTTGCACTCAATGGGTCTCAAAGACCCGATGCAGGTGGTGGGTGGTATTTACGAACCCGTGCCGTGTGGAAGTGTTCCAAGGACTATGACTACCTTCTCCAATCAGATGCCGATGCTGCGAAGGAAAAAATGAAGGGGCTTCCTGAAACTTGACATGTGCACACGGGGATGGCAGTCACTCAACCTGGAGAAAGCGCTTCCTTTGAGAGAGAGAGAGAGAGGGAGACACACATATCCTGATAAACTCCTCCCGAACTGCACCTGCAACGGTTTGAAACTCCAAGTCCAGAGATGTGGGGCAGGCAGGTTGTGTAGACTGCTAAGACCGGAATGGCAAGTCGCAGAGCACCCCCCCGAAGAGCGCACACAGAAAGCACTCTTACGGAGCACGCTGATAGAGCACACACAGAAAATCGCACAGAGGGAGCATGAATGAGCATGTTTGAAGAGCATACTGATACTTGAAGAGCACAAGTAATTAGAGAGAGAGAGACAGAGCACGTGCATAAGACACTTGGAGGTCACGCTCAGAGAGCACCCATAAAAAGCATACCTAGAGCCTAGAGCGCAGACATCGGAAGCACACTCAGAGGGCATAGAAAGCACAATCAATCAGCAATCAGAGAGGACACTTGTGCGTTGCAAACTGCTTGCGATCGCTTGCCCGGATCATTTACAGCAGGCTACCCTTAAGTGGTCTACTGGCGAATGTGAGGCTTTGGTGTGGGGAAAGGCCCCAGAGTCGCCCAAGTCTTACGCTAGTCAATTTGGTGACGGAGGCGTTCGACCTGCCCTTCGTCCGGTCTTCGGGGGTTCCGGCTTGGCCTGCATTGGCGATGTATTCGACAATAATATACTTACTCCTTCCGCGGGGCAGTGGATACTACGCCTTCTGGCTTCCGGCATGAAAACCAAGACCAGCAAAATTGGCAGTTGACTTCTATTTGTTTTTGACATTCTTCCTTTTCTTTTTCTAGCGAAAGCATGCGAAAGCTAGTTTTCGTTATCTCCCTTCTCAGGTCTTCCATGATTAAGGAAAAGCCTCAGCGGCATAAGCAACGTATAAGCTGTGTGTAAGCACATCCTTACGCTTTTTGAATCTATAGGTTTTGAGCACGGCTCACATCCAATTTGTTTTGCAATCTTTTTGCAATCATTGCCTTCTTCACGCGTCAACGAAAGCTGGTTTCAGTCGTGTCAGCTGCCAATGTGCAAGAGCCAAGAGTTTCAAAGAATCCGTACCGTATGTGGCCCAACGCTTCAACGTATGTGCTGAACGTATCTCAACATATGGGCTCAAGATGGCTCAAGATGACTGGAGTCGCCTCCGCTCGTTGTATGTGAGTTCGATTCACATTCGTGTCACTGATCACCTGCCTTTCGCTCAATGCTGCAGTTCGGCCACACAGTGCTGATTGGGACGAAGCTCAGGCAGCAGAAAGTGTGACTCAAGTTATGTTCCCGTCATTTCCCGTCAGGTTGTTTCAATTTGGAGAATTTCTGAAGTTTTTCAATGAAGAAAACGTGACAAACATGTTAGAAATGTCATCTCGTGCAATCAGTGAGATTTGTGGTGCGTAAAGTTAGCAATTGATCCATCCAGACACATGTCTTGAGAACATCCATTTTTGCCGACGCATCACTCGCAACCATGCACGAGGACAAAGACTTCCCTTGGTCGAAGCTCCGCCTAGACAAGAACCACAGTACGGGTGCGCCTGCTCGGCTCAGGGCTCCAGTCGCTTGGACTGTCAGCATATCCCAAAATCTGTGAAACTCTGAAACCCGGACAGCCTATGACTGCCTGTGATAGCCTGTTGTTCATGAAATTTGTTCCTAGGTAGTCATCAATGCTTAAGAATTTGAGTAGGAAACCATGGAAACCGGGGGAGATCCTGGAAGTCAGCCTCAGAACAAACCAGGGTTTTCTTTTTTATCCCCTGATCATTTCCTACGTGTGCCAGTTATTTTTGTTGCATTTCTTGTAAAAAGACTGTCTAGTGTGACGCCCAGAACTCATGTTTTAGGCTGTAGACACTGTAGACGGGCACCAATTCAATGCGAAAACATGTACCTGCGCTTTAAAGACGCAAAGAGGCAACCCAGACCAGCTTAGAGGCAAAAGTAGCAAGGATCTTTCAGCTATGGCAAGCAAAGATACGTGAGGGCAAGTCAAGGCGAAATGAAATCAGACAAAGTGACAAGATGTGACAAGACTCAAGATCAGAAACAGTGAGACAAGATCAGATAGGTTGAAACAAGGATATGTAGGATATGGTGAGAAAAGTTGAAATCCATTATCGACGTGGATTGAATGCAAGCTGAAACAGGTCAACATAAGTTGGAAGGAGTCCAGATCAGCTACCAGGTGTTCAGAGAAGTTCCAATGAGTCTCAACAAGTCAATGTAGATTAAGACAACTGAGGATTGGATAAATCTAAGCAAGACAAATCAAGATGAGGAAAGACAAAGATGAGTGAAGATACCTTGAAACATGCTAGTTCGGGCTTCAGATGATGAGTTAAGTTGGAATGAATGAAGATCGGTGAGGCAAAGATTGGCTAAGATATATCAAGAAAGACCCGACATGACAACAAAAAGCAGAGAAAGCTCGTATTTTTTTTCGATGAAAACAAATAGGTAGAGAGAAACTACGATTCGGACAAGTTCAAGGATTGCGAAGAGGAATCGAAATGCTCTGAGGTCAGATAAGACAGGTTGATATACAAGGCAGATCGCTTAAGAGAAGGAGTTCAAAAAGGTCACGGCGAGAACAGGTTCAGGCAAAGACGAGGAGGTACGTCGTAAGAAGAGAAGATGAAGCAATCAATACAGCAAAGCATGTGTGGAAAAGTTACGAACCTGAGATTAGATGAACCTCTGCAAGTTGGAATAAGAAAACTCAAACAACATGTTCATGCACACTTGAAGGGGCTCGACCAACTCACAATCTAAGAAGCCTTAGCAGTCAAGAAGAAACCAACAAGAAGTCTAAGAAGTGCTGGAATTTCAATCTATTTCAATCTGCTGGGTAAGGCAAGATGTCTGCAGATGACTTGCGGTAAGCACGGACATGCGAAGGGAAGTTGCCAGATGATGTGTCCAGACAGGGAAAGACTTGAGGTTGAGATGTTGAGACAAGTTTCTAGAAGATCAGATAAGTCAGGAAAGTTCAGGAAAGTCAAGATAGGTTCAGATGAAGTTCAGAGGGGTCAAGATCAGACGAGCAGAAAACTCAAGTTCTGGTTGAGCAAGTGAAGACTGATTATCAAGACTAAGTCGATCAAAACCTATGGTCCCATTTTGGGCTTTTTAAACGCCACTTAGACTTAAAAGTCTTATTTGGGAACGCAAGACGGGACCAGGTATTGACCCAACCCACATAAGATATATAAGCGAAGATAGACCAATAGATTTGATAACAAGTTCTGTTAATTGCATACATTTCGATAGCTTTGAACAAGTCCAACAACGCTCAGATACGGCAAGGCCAATTCAGATAACCTGTATGTCTGTATGTCTGTATGTCTAGAGAAGATGAGTTAAGTTACCTTGAAGGTATTTTAAGGTACTCTTCAAGCAAGTACTGATGAAGTAAGGTCAGGTACACTAGGATACGTCAAGATCATTGCAAGTCAAACAAAAGTCGTCAGGAAAAACCAAGCGAGTAGGTTCAGAAAAGTCGGGAACAGATGTGCAAGGATAAGCCGCCATGATTCAAGAAAATTCAAGAACATGTAACCAGGCCACAGTAGAAATGAGACCATAGATCACTCCCATGTAATAGGCTGAGTTGCTGAAGCCAAATATCAGCAAAGCTGGTGTCGAAAAAGACCTCTTGTGCAGCTGGAAAAAGATGAAAAAGGAACAATTGAAGTGCAAATTTTGGAACGTCATCTCTGTGGATGACACATGGATGGTACATGATGGTACTCAAGTTGTGTGAAAAGAGCTCGCGGTAGCAAAAGAAGGCATGGATTGGAACAGATCTGTGTAAGGTTGGTTTACGCTGAATTTCTGTTGGTTTCAGATGGCAAATGGACCTCCTTAGTTTGCCGTGGTATGTTGAAGGTGCTGGCGCAAGGTACGCGGGATTTACGGGGAGATTCCTTCACCTCGCTTTTGGGGTCGAAAGACTCTTCAACCATCTTCAACCTTGGCCAACAAAATGACAAGCATCAATTAAGACCCAGACAACCCTGAAATGTAGATCTGAATCGATTTCAAATTGATGTTTCTGGTGTCGTTTCATGTGTTTCACCTCATTCATGAGCACTAGTAGGAACCTTATTTTTCATTCATGATTAGTTCTACGTCGTTACGCATTTGAGTTGTCTTCTGTGTCGAACGTGTCGCCCGGCGTCGTGCGCCTTCTATTTTCTAAAGTTTGCAAAGCTGAGGCCATTCCAGAAGCACCCCAGTGCACCAATATGGAGGAGATGGCAGCTCAACTGAGAGGCCTCGGCTTTATAGGAGAAGGAAATCCATGTGAATGGATGGGAGTCCGATGTGCTGGCTGCACGGTAGTGGAGATTCTGAACCTGGGGAAAACTCAAGTGAAGGGCGACATAGCTGCGCTGCAAAGCCTCACCAACCTCCAGACGCTCTACCTGTCACAGACCCAAGTGAAGGGCGACATAGCTGCACTGCAAAGCCTCACCAACCTCCAGACGCTTTACCTGTCACAGACCCAAGTGAAGGGCGACATAGCCGTACTGCAAAAAGCCTCACCAACCTCCAGCACCTTCGCCTGTACCGGACCCAAGTGAAGGGCGACATAGCCGCACTGCAAAGCCTCACCAACCTCCAGACGCTCTACCTCTCCCAGACCCAAGTGAAGGGCGACATAGCCGCACTGCAAAGCCTCACCAACCTCCAGACGCTTTACCTGTACCAGACCCAAGTGAAGGG